AGAATTCTGTACTTAGATGAATTTGAGGATATGTCTCACAAGTTTCACTGAAGATGGAGTTTGTCATGGAGTCTAATCTCCACAGCAGGTAGAATTGGGCATGGACTGGCTTTGTCTGACTTGCTTTGCAATATCAAATGAATTGTATCAGTGCTAGAAGAGAAATCCAACAACTAGGCCGTGACCTATTCCGTAAAATGATGCAAGTGAGTGGAGAGAAATGGGAGGATGCTGAATATGAACAAACTGCAGCTGTGGGGTCAAGAATACTGCACCTGCACACTGTGCTCTTCCCTCTAGGACTATGCAAGTATGTGAGTGAGGAGTAACGTATAGACAGACATGCCTCTTTTCTTCACACAGCTTGGTGGAGCTGGGGAACAGGAATGATATTTTGTAATGGACTGATCTGATCACTCTCTTTCCTACCAGTGGAACAAAAGCCTTCCTGATCTTTTTCTCAAGGTTATATCTTGTCAAGCCTGCACCAAAGCTACCTTTGATCCAAAAGGTACCTCTTAGCACAGGTATTACTGATAACACTGTTTGAGGATCTTAGAATCACTTTCTCCTTCTGGCAGCATTCAGATGCTGGGTTGCAACTTATTTTTGTTTTTATTTCATTACACTGGAAAGTTCTAGAAGCATGACTAAAAAATATTTGAAATAGAAAAGAAACATCCTTCTATATCAGGTAGATTAAAAAAGAGAACGTATGATTTGAAAAGCAGCATCTCAAGCTGTTTCAGGAAAATGACTTCTTGAAGAGTAGACTCTACTTCTCTGCCTACTGCCCTCAGAGCAAAACTTGACACAAGGAGGGAGAAAAAAAGATGTCAAATGTTTCCAGACGTCTCTGGTTTCTTCCATCCCTACTTGCACAAAGACAAATGCATGGGATGCTTTTCTCCTCCTGTTTTGTTTCAGGATCTCACTTTGTGGAATAATTAAGATGGAATAATTGGGAAACAAAGTTCACAGTTTGGTAGTGAATGAAATGAAGAAAAATGGATCATAGGATGATGGCAGAATTAACAATACACTTCTCATTTTAAAAGGGAGGCTGCCTCTGCTTGTGTTTAAATCTCAGTGCCGGCAATATGAGGAAAGGTGCAACCACAGAAATTACAGCTGGCAGTCATCAGGATGAAGGAATGCACCTTTGCAGCCATTTGCTGGTAACAGAACAGCTCCTGCAGTTAGCCATGTCTATGGTTAATAGGTTTTTGTGGACTAGAGTACAGACCTTTACAGAGGAGGTGCATTTTTCTCATTGTCGCTCATAAATCTTTCTCTGTTTTGCACGGATGCTTAAATAATTTATTTCATTTTGATTCTGCAGTGTGAAAAATGAGCAAAAATAGAAATAAATAGATATTTAATTCAAATTTATTTAGACACCAAGATTTAAAAAGCCAAAACTAGATAAAAATCCCATTAGTTCTGTGCAAGTTCTGTGCAATATACATTGAACGTCACATTATCAGCACTGTAATCTCAGTGCTGCATTCATTTGGGCTGCCCAATGCATTCAGAGTGGAGCAGGTACTGCCTGTCTGAAGGGACAGGTTCCCATCTGTTCTTCCTGTGCCATTCATCAGGATTTTCTACTGATGGGTTATAGCCAAATGCAGACCTGGATATATGAGTCCACTGGAATGTGTAGACTGTGTATGTGCTGCTTTATATCTGTCTCTTCTGTACACAACGTGCAATTACCAAGAGAACTCTGAAACCGTGAGAAGATAAAGAAGCTATTAGCATTTTTATTTTTAATTGATAAATTCATACAACAAGATCTTTTATAGGCAGAAGGCAAGATCAGGTCTTGAGCAGAGCAGAGAGGAAGAGAGGGAGAATGGGACTCAAGTTTAGTAACTGAAAAAGAAATCAAAGGAGCATGGCATTCTGAGATCAATATATGAGGGACAGATATCCTAGATATTTGCAAGTGAAACTCCTGCACTACATTGTTCTCAAAAACAAAAAGCCAAGTAGCATAAAGTAATGCCACATGAGTTTGATAGAGTTTTACTCAGAAAATACAAAGCCTGCATCCCTTTATTCAGCAGATCGTACAGGCAGCTGGATTTGTGGTAAATTTAGAGAACTGCTGGATAAATTTCAGTTCCATTGAAGGACAATCGTAGAAGTCCTCTCCACTCTAAAATTCCCTTGGATACCACCCATGAGATCTTTTTAACGCTGCTTCTGTTGAGGAGCCAGCACTGCTGTGAGAACAGGGACTGGGCTCCATTCAGAATGAGGTTTAAACTGCATGGTCAGGTCTTGCTTCATTTCTGCTTATGCAACTCCACAGCAGTGATGAAAGGAAAAGAATCCAAGTTGGTTTTCAGATCCTAACCTGAATTTTCTTTTCTGACATCTGGGAACATCCTTCCCCCTTCACCCTGCAGTTGTGAAATTAACTCATTTTCTGTGTAGGTCTTAAAAAAGTCAATATGTATTAAAAACATTCATGGTGTGTTTTACTGAAAGACTTTTCAAGATGCAAGCATGATTTAAAAACAAATTTCTGGACCTTCTGCTTTTTCCATTTACTTCAGTGCACCATGAACTCCACTTTGTCCTGCCTGCTCCAACCTCCTCTCCACTTTACAGGAAATCTTGCTCCCTTTGGGAATATCATTCCATAGGGATTCACATAAGTGTAGATAAATACAAGCATTTATATGAGCAGCTAGTTCATTGCTTACTTGAATTTTTTCACTCCAGTCACAAACACTGATGCTAATGTGTACCAGCACCAAAGCATGACTATGCTGTGCTATATTTATCTTGCACATACAGCATTAGATCAAAGAGTCCCGATGTTTTCTTTCAGAGGTTTGCTAGATATTTTTGTTGTTAATTATTGGCAAAGGACATTTTAAGAGATGCATACTTTTCAGCTGCGTTCCAAAAGGTGTATTTCGTTGTTTAAGCATGATGAATTTAAAAAAGAAACAAAGAAAAGGAAAAAAAAGAAAAAAAAAAAAAGATCATCTGATCATCTGCTCTGTTATTCTCCTTTCCTGATCACCTCTGCCCTGGTATGTAGAAATTGGCTGATTTGTTTAAATCCCAGCAACTCCCATGGCATATGGTTCATAAAGTGGCATTTACAGTGTGCACTGTAACACTTCATCACTACTAGGCAGACTTTGAAAGTAATACGGGTTCACATTGTTCCAAAAAAGAAAAATTAAGGTGAAAGTAAATCTAATACTTAGCTTTTCTTTTGAGTCTACTGCTGTAAAAAATCAACCTTAGGAGAGGAATGGAATTTTCTGAATGACAACTGCCACCAAAAAAAGAAAAAAAAATCCCCTAACCCAAAAAGCCATCCTCAGAAAGTAGTTCTTCAACACCGCCTTTTTTCCCACAGCCTTGTGGAGCCCCCAACCCTGTCTGCAGAAAATGAAAGAGAGAGGGGTGGGATTAATGTGTAATTAAAGGGAATTTGGAAGGCTGAGATGTTGCGGAATGTTAGATCAGTAGCTGGAACAGCATGTGGTGTTCTTTAGGCAGGCTTCATTGAGTCCATACAAAAAAAGAAAGAAGGGCTGCTTGCCTGTCTGCTCATTTATCAAACAGCTAGGCTGAACTTTCACAGCTCCACAAAAGTGTTTTACTGTTTGCTGAAGTTTTGCTCCAGAAATTAAAGCTGAACAACCTTCAGTGAGTCTGAGTCTGCATTTCTGACGTGAGCCACGTTGTGCAAAGCTTATGGAACATGGTGCAGGTCAATTTTTTACATGATGCAAAAGAAAGCTGAGTTGTGTGTTTGATTTTAAAAAACATATTACAGTCAAATACGTGACATTGTAACATCTTTATTTATAAAGCACCTTTTGATCTAAATACATGTTCCAGAGCTTTCAGTCATCAATCAGGATTAAATATTTATCACGTTGGCAAAATGGCTCACAGGGGAAAAATCTATACTATTTAATCAATTTTACTTGACACTTTCTTCTGTTCGAACAGTTGTATTCCATCTTGTATGCCTGTTTTTCTTTAATTCTACTTGTTCCTCCTCACCCCCCGCAAAATAGGAAACAGCAGTTCATATTACGAAAGTACGAAATAAGCTACAGATTAAGAAAGAAAGAAATTTCTCTTGTAAGTGAATCTTCAAGGGTTACTGCGTTCTTTCTTGCATGACTGTTCTGCCAGCTGAGTTTTGCCTCCGCTGCAGACAACACCGAGAATCAGGTTCAGTCCCACGAGGTGCTGAGAGCTGCCTTTCCAGCAACTCCAGCTGAGCTTTTTCATCACGAGCAGCCTGGCTGACAGCGGATCTGCACAACTGACATTCATTAATTTGTTTCTTTAAATGCATCTGGTGCTGAAGAAGTTTTGTTTTACAGTAGCAGTGTTCTTTTAATCTCTGCTGATGGACCGAAGCCCAGGTTCTTGACAATATCCCGCTGTTTCTGAGATGCGCTTGTTTTCCATAGAAGATAAATTGATTATGACCTATCTTTAGAAAATGCAACAGTGAATCTTCCCTGGTGGAAGTGGTGCCCTGTCAAATACCAATATCTTTTCACAGAATCCTCTCTCACAAAAGGGAGCGTTTAATGGCAGGATCATGAAGGCCTTTGAAGAAATGCTGCCTCCAAAGCTCTACAAAGGAAAGGTTTCTCTGGTTGCAGGAAAACCAAGTTTGTTTTAAATCCGCAAATTTAAATAGTCAGTTCTAAATACACTCTTCATTCGTTTAGAAGCAGAAATGGTGTGAGATTTAAGGAACAGTAATTCCATAAAATTCTTTATCTAAAGTGATGATATTTAATAAAATTCATATTGAGTTTAAAAGTCTATTGCCCTTTTTTCAGCAATGGAAAAAATCAAAAGCTTTCTCCTGATTTTTTTACCCATGTATTTGGGTGAGACCACAGTACAGTTTTTCTGCTTATTGGTCTTAACAGTCTGTAATAAATTATTAGCAAATGTTTTCATTTCTTTCTAATATCAGTTTTATTCATTTGCAGATAATAAGGCAACAGTTTCCACAGCTAACAACGAGAAGACTTGGAACCAGAGGCCAATCGAAGTAAGCAGTGTATGGTGCATTATCATCTCACACAGGGCCCCATCTGGCCTTGACTGAATAGAATAGTATGACATCAGGGAATTATTTGTCCAGTTGGGGAATTAAAACCCAACTCTGATACAGTTTCCATTGTAGTTTTTACTCTTACTGTTTCAGTGGTGAAAGTGCTGCATAATCCAATGGAGATCCTTTACTGAATTCATCAGCAACATTTTCCACATTTTTCCTACAAATTGTCTCTTCTCAGCTCATTTTACATGACATAAAAGGCATTCACACTTAGCACTAACAGAGCTACTGTGAAATCACAGCTGGTTAACATCATGTTTAAGTTTGGAGAAAAAGTGGTGGAATGCTGTGTGGAATTTAGCTAGAAATATTTTTTGGCCTGAACTCAAATTGTCCACAGACCTGGATTTAATCACAGATTTTGCTGTGTATCAAAATCCAACGTCTCTTTACATGATCAATGAATTATTTTATTGCCTTATCCAAAAGATGGTATCTCCCCAAAACAGTTTCATCCTAATAGTTCGTTCCAGAATGAGAAATGATTTCAGATAGAAGACTGCACTTCACATTCTATTTGAGATTTTCCAGTTGTTCTTGATCTTGAGATTCTCTTAACTTTTATAACTCAGCTTAACTTTTTCTCAAGTAGCCATTTTTAAGTAACTAATTGTAGATCTGAAGTTTCTTCCCAAGTATAAATTCAGACATGCTATAACAACACTCAGAGCTACCAGATCTTACTCAGTTGTACACATTGGGTTAATCCAACAACATATTAGGAAAGCCTGATAGGTCAGGACTCAAAGCATCAGGACTTTGCACTGAATTTAAATTATATATAATTTAAGTTATAACCTCATAAAGACAGGGTGAAAGCATACCCAGGTTGCTTTATGGAATATCTCCTATGACTGTGCTCTTTGTCAACCATGAAGTCATTCTGATCCTGGCTATAAATTTGTTATTTGTCTTCCTGTTTAAACAAAGAGTGAGCATTGGTATATTCCCAAACTGGAGCTCCTCTGTCAGGTTCAGAAGTCTCTCAGAGGGGCAAGATGCCTTTGATCAGCTGACTGAAGGCATCTTGCATTTGCAAAAATAATGTCTCTTTGCTCTCAGGGACTGAAAATCGGTGAGTCTTAAAAGTTCTTGCATATTTTCCCCCTAACCTGCATGCCTACTGAAGAGGCTTTCAGATCTCATTCTCTTATCATGCTGTCTTTGCAGAAGTTCTGATCCTATCTAGCAAGTAACATGTTTCTGAAAAGCATTCAACAAAATCCTAGGTCTTTGGTAGTCTCTGATAATGCTTCTGAGAGAGATTATAGTTATTTAAACTTCACAGCCTTAGTATGTATAAGATGGAGTTGTTCTGGTCCAAAAGAGGATACCTACATCTTCATCCATGGTTAACACCCCAATGATCATAGCATACAGAGGAGTAATTTGATCCAATGATCCAATGAAGAGGGGAGGTATAAACACATTTGCATATTACAGATTCGCAGGGGCTGGAAGGGACTTCTGGAGATCATCTAGGCCAACCCCCTGCTAAAGCTGGTTCCCTACAGTAGGTTCCACAGGAAAAGGTGTGGGCACGTTTTGAATGTTTCCAGAAAACAAGACTCCACATCCTCTTGGGCAGCTTCTTTCTGTGCTCTGTCACTCTCAAAGTTCTTTCTCATATTCATATGGAACTTTCTGTGTTCCAGTTTGTGCTCATTGCCCCTTGTCGCTGGGCACTGTTCAAGAGTCTGGTCCTATCCACTTGACTTCGGCCTATGGGATATTTATAAACATCGATAAAATCCCCCCTCAGCCTTCTCCAGGCTGAGCAGTCCCAGGGCTCTCAGCCTGTCCTCATCAGGGAGATGCTCCAGGCCCTCACCATCTCGGTGTCCCTCTGCTAGGCTCTCTTGTGAAGTTCCCTGCCTTTGAACGGGGGAGCCCAGACCTGGACACAGCACTCCAGATGTGGTCTCAGCTTTGCAGAGGATCACCTCCCTCGACCTGCTGGCCATGCTCTTTGCAATGCACCCCAGGATGCCATTGGCCTTCTGGGCCACAAGGGCACACTGCTGGCTTGTGGCCAACCTGTTGTCCATCAAAACACCCAGGTCCTCCACAGAGTTCCTTTCCAGCAGCTCAGCCCCTCACCTGTACCAATGCATGCAGTTATTCATCTCCAGGTGTAGGACTCTACACTTGCTCTTGTTGAACCTCATCAGGTTCCTCTCTGCCCAACTCTCCATCCTGTCCAGCTGTTGCTGAACGGCAGCACAGCCTACTGGTTTGTCAGTCACTCCTCCCAGCTCTGTTTCATCAGCAAACTTGCTGAGGATTGACTCTATCCCTTCATCTAGGTCACTGATGAAGATGTCGAGCAAAACCAGAACCAGTACTGATCTCTGGGGAACACTATTAGTTACAGACCTCCAAGTAGAGTCTGTGCCATTGATTATAACTGTCTGAGCTGTCAGTCAGCCAGCTCTCAATTCACCTCATTGTCCACTTGTCTTTCTCATTTGCACGTTGTACTTCTTTGTAATGAATACACCAGCACATACATTCCTTGCTGGACCCAGCACAGCTATAACTGAGGTCTGTTTTTATTTTCAGAAACATCTGATTGCATTTCAGTTGTGTTATGTAAATAAATTACTTTATGCATTAACACTTCAGTCCTTTTATCACCCACTGTGCTGACCAATTGTTGCCAGTATGATTTTCCTTCCATTTCCTTGCTACTGCCAAGGAAACTCAACCGCAGAAGTGGTTGAGATCATCTGGCTTCACACTGTTCTGCCTTCAGTCTTTTTATAGCATGGCTCCCTCATAACATTTCAAAGTTCAGAGCTACAATGGCACTATACTCTTGGTCATCTGTTGTGAGGCTTTCTCTTTTGCAGCTGGGCTTATTGCTGTAAATGTGCAGCTGTTCTCTATCACGCTGAGCTTAGAAAGAGTTCCACCATAGGTGAGCCATGAGAAGGCATCTAAATAGAAAAGCTCATTTCTTTCTGTACTACAGCATGAAACTCTTCAATTATATACACAAGTGGTTACTTAGACTAATGGGAATGATATGGTGTGAAGGGAGTTTTACTTCTTTCTCTAAGAGTGTTGTATTGTAGATTCTGGGTCCATGAAAGGAAAAATTATTCTATTTACTGCAAAAAACGATTGTGTGGTCTGCCCGTTACTTCCTTACAGATCAAACTTTCAAGACTTCCTTATTGATTTCAGTTTGATTGTGGGTGGTTAGTTGTCACTTTTGTTTCTTTCTTTCTGTTAGAAATGATTTAAAGAAAAAGTGCTAAGAATATCCGTGAACTGCACCAGTGATTTTTTGCCATTTGGGATAGTAACATTTCCAGATAGCTTCCTCCTTCAGTAAAGTTTCCATGTTAATTTGGCTATTGCTGTCTACGTAATTTTGAAGCTACCTGGCAATCTCTTTAATGTAGTATACTGCCAAGTAAAATATACTAGACATTAAGCAATGCCCTGTGACATTCTACTACAGTCTGGAGGCTTTTATTCCTTCTTTTTTTTTCCCCTAGAATTGATTTAAAAAGAAACTTAACATAAAAGACTGACCTGCTTAAGTTATACAGAACTCTCAGTCTGTCTTGAACTTTTGCAGTCCTGCCTGCTGTGGCCTTATATTTTTCTTATTTTTTTTTCTTTTTTCTCATTCCCTTTCTCTCAATAATTTGTGGTGGTAGTTTCTTTCCGTTTTCCCATCCCCAGGCATACCGAACTCACAGGATATAAGAAAGTAGGCTATGGGCTTTATGGCTGTTACACACAGTGCACGCATGACAGCTGCTATCAAGCTGGGAACTTGAACTGCAACCTGGAGTTGTTACTGTTTAAGCAAAAAAAAAAAAAAAAAAAAAGAAAGAAAAAAGAAAAAAAAAAAGCTTCTATGGCTGGTGTACCATCGCGTGTAGCTTGGCACATGTAATGTGTGGCTGAATCAGCCTTCTTAGTGCCCTTTGCTCTGGTTTGTCCTTTTAACAAGCACAAAGCAGTAAGGATCCCATTCAAATAAAGCCAGCGAAACATGTGATATGCACAGCTATGGTATCCAAGCAAAAACTTGCCATCAGCTGTCTGTAACAGAGTAGGATGGATCTGAGCCTGACTTCTGGTCTGGAATATACATTTTGGTCTGAGCCCTGGCATGATTTGGAGCAGATAGTGTGGCTTTCTAAGGTATTGAAGGAAGGAAATCTTACTCAAATAATGTCAGATTAATATATTAATAAATCTCCCCTGCATTATTCAATATTGAGTTCAAGATAGCTTTTATTTTTATTTCATTTATTGCTGGATGATGTGGAACATCCTCAGTCGAAATGGTAATGGCAGCACATACGAGAATCCTGCAGCTCCCCAGGCCTCCTCTCAGCCCATCTGTGCTGGTAGACAAGATTAGGGCTTCCAGCTATTTGCCACTACTTTCTGTTGGAGATTATAACATGCGCCGATTTGCGGGTGAATGAGCGAATCTGCTCTAGAAAAAAAATCACCTTAGCTTAAGCTATAATCAATTAGACACTGCTCTTTCACTGTTTGAATTGATGTTAGTAAAGCCAGATGATTTTCCTAAAGCAAACAAGGGGTAATCAAGTGAACTGATCTGCCTGTAGCACTCTGAAAACAGTAACTATCTGTCTGGGGAGGATGACAAACATCTGGAGATGGTTCCCTCTCCTCCCACCACAGCTGGATGCAGAAGTGAAAGTCTCATCTCAGTCTGACAAGCTGTAAGGAGAGAGCCGGAAGATCATTGAAAATTCCCTTTAAGAAAATAAAGTCAGAGGTACAAGGGCAATATGATTTTATGTTACCTTTTGCAACCACTTAAAATTAAGTTGAAGTGATGGTGGGGCTCACAGCTGAGAAAATGAAGTAAATGTTAGCAGAATCACAGGGTGAATGAGATTGTTTCTGCTGCTCCGATGCAAGGGTTAGCCTGGATAATGAGTGCTCCCATTAACACCTATAATAATGCTAAGCCGTGGCACAACCGTGTGCCATAAGGCCACCAATCCGTTCTTGTAGTGCAGCCACACCACGTAACACCCACTGTGCTCTGCACAGGCAGAGTTAGTGTTGCGCAGTATCCTGTGCTGATCCAAGACCAATTATGATGGAAGTTACAAGGGACATCATTTTGGACTGTACATTTTCTGCTGTGCATTGCTTTCAAGCACACGTGCTTCTCCCTTCAAATCCCTTCCCCCCTCCCCCTGCGTTTCATTGCAGTGCTTTCAGGTTTTGAAACATTTCTGATCAGTTTGTTTGTGATAAAGACTTGTGCTATTCAGGGATCAAAGCGGCCCTGGACAGTCTGAGAAGAAATAACAACAGAAGGGCCAGACCAGAGGGGTTGTACCTCTGCTTATTGCTAAACTAAAGGAGCAGCTGCACAGCACAACTCTGCCAGCAAGAAGCTTTAGGATGTGCTTTTAAATCATAAGAAAACAAAACATAGAACTCCATTAATTTTCTGCCCTGCAACAGTCAGCTTTATTAACTCTGAAGAGAGCTAGCTGCTTTTACCAAAAGAAATTTGAAAACCCAGAGTATTACCACAATATTCTGCTACTGAATCAGTGCTTGTTAATGATACAGAAACTATTACAAAGTCTGTTTTGCCATAGAGATTATTAACACTGTCAATTTATCTTATTCCCATATACTTTTAAAAATAATTTTTGAACAATTTACTTTATGTACCTCTCTGTGTATCAGGTACCATTATTATGGAATTGCAGTGAAAGAAAACTCACAGTATTACGATGTGATGTATTCTAAAAAAGGAGCAGCCTGGGTCAATGAAACTGGAAAAAAAGAAGTGACCAAACAGACAGTGGCATATTCACCACGATCCAAACTGGGAACATTACTGCCAGAGTTTCCAAATGTCAAAGATCTAAATCTGCCAGCCAGTCTGCCAGAGGAGAAGGTAACACTTTGGAAATATTTTCTTAGCTTGTCCTGTATCTTTTTTTCCCTGCTTTGGATGAAAACTTCGTCTAAAGTATAAAGACTTTAAATAAGATTAAGTTTAATAATCCTTTGACTTTATTTATGGGGAACTTAATTGCTTCTTATAATAGTCAGAAGTATTTTCCCTCAGTACAACAGCATATGCTATCAGATGTATAGCATATCTAAAGCCTACGCACACTCTTCTTTCAAAGTTGTATTACATACAGCAGGAAAGGCTTGGATGGTAACTGGTTAAATCACCAATAACAAGACCCCAGTTTTCTGTTTTAGCAATATGTGAACCCACTTGTTGGCAAACTGAAAAACAAATCCGGTGCTTTCTTGTGAGGAGAGGAATTTAATGCATTTCTTATCCTTCTAGGCTGGAAATTAAAAGAATCCTGTCTGCACCTATGACAAAAGTGCTCTGACTGTTCTTGGCTGAGCCTGCTAGTTTTCTGATGCTATTCACATGTGTAGTATCAATGTAAAGTGGACAAAAGAGTAGGGTTTTATAGTTCTTTATGTCCTAATTAGGGCCACATTCTCGTCTTTGATCTCACTGAGGTTTTTTGCTCCTCTTGCATTTGAAGAATCCCATTGACATAGAAAAATTCATGAATTCAAAGGGAGAATTTACCTTTAAAAAGAAAACTTATGTTAAAGCTAATCTAACCAGACTCTGATTTCATTATTTTTGCAATTTTGCATAGGTAAAAAACAACTTACTTTTTTGTGCTCTGTATTTTGACAGTTTTGAAAGCAGATTTCTTATAGTAGAATGAACATTTGTGTGTCTCCCTCTCATTCTTTTTCAGGTTTCTACCTTTATTATGATGTATAGAACTCACTGTCAGAGGATACTAGACACTGTAATAAGAGCAAACTTTGATGAGGTATGGTTAGAAACTGCAGTTGTAGTTTAATGATATTACTGGTATGAATGGATCTGAGAGCTGATTTTGAATTTGATATTACAAACTTATGGTTTTGTGGTGGCTAATCCTTTTCATGAATAAAGAATAGATATACATATTACGTATTATGTCACTGATAGCATTAAATCTCACTTATACCACTAGGTGAGTTAGAGAAATGAAAGCAGTGGGAATGGTTTTGAGTCTCCATTGGGATTAAAGTGGCAATATCCTCTTACAAGATGTTGACAATCCAGTTCTTACATCTCAACAAGTGTATCCATCACCACTTTCCTAACCTTTGAGTAAGGAACTGAGCTTTGAACTTTGAACTGAGCTCTGTTTGAAGGAATTCCTCTGAGTGTTCAGAACAAACCCAGGGCAGGTGCCACAGCCAAAATGATGTTCTCTGCTAGTCTCTTAACAATGAGCATGGAGCTGGGGGGCCTAGAGCCTCTCAGACATCCCAGTAAACCTCTACCTAAAGTCTCCAGTTCTTCAGTTGTTTGGTAGTACAGCCAGGAACACACACACTGCTCAATAGTTGATACGATTCACTAGGATATCAAACTGAACCTGAGGGCTTTCTGGCAATGCATGCATACAAGTCCTGTAATTAGAGGTGAATGGCTACAAACATCAAACATTACTGGACTGCAAAGACTTTTATATCCCATGTGGAGAAATTTTCTTTTCTAGGAAAGCAAATCTGACTATAGAAATGCTGAGGGCCTCATTCAAATATAATTTGGAAAAAGTCAAAGGAAATGGGTCTTTTAACTCTGCGTTCTGAACTAAAGCAGAGAATTCCTTCCTTTTTCCTATTCTGCTCTAGTTCTCAAACTCCTCTGATTTAAAACTTAGGCTCTCTTAAGCCATTGCACCAGTCTAGGTTCTTCCTTGCAAGAAAATTGTTTCTTCAGCATTATTTTATTTCTTTTCACATTTTCCAACGTGTCTCTCAGATCTTCTCCTAACCATGTTTAAGTGGGAACCCAGAAGCATAAAAAAATATTTAAATCTGTTGTACAGGTTAGAGAAAACCAAACCCCTTGGCCCATTCACTCCAAGCCCACTGGTTCAGTAAGAACACATATTCAGGTTTTGCTGGATCAGTCTCTGAATGCTTTCTTCAGAGAAGGATGTTGTCTTTTTCTAGGGAATCTGTCAGGGTCAGTGGTGGAGAAGGGGCTGAACAGTAACAAGATGTAAATGATAAATGTTATTTACTGCACCTGGTTCAGTTACAGGTTGTGTGTTAAAAGGTTATCATGTAGAAATGCTGGTGTTCTGACACCTGCAGAATTGACCATGTCATTCACGTAGTAACACCTTTATTTCCTAAATGGCAGTTTTCAGATGCATCTTTTTCTGTGTCTGAAATTTCCTCCCTATTTTCTTTTTTGCCCTTCTCCATTCTTTCTCCACTTTCCTTCATAGAGAAGGAGATAAAGAAGAAATAATTGCTGCTTTTCTTTAGTCACTATAACAGCTGTTAAGATCTCCAAACTGTTTCTTTTCAAAATTAATGCAGAAAATGGTATACTGGCCTCCATCACCGTGCTGTGTTCCTGTCCCTCCCCACACCAAGTCCTAGTTTCATTACTTTGTGTACAGGAGCAGCCTCTCAGCTGTAGGAACAAAAAGGTACCCTGTCTCCAACTCAGAATGCCTCCTTGCCCTTTGGCTCATTATCCCATTCAGCGCCTGGTTAAGTATAAGCCTGTCTAGTTAAGGAATATACATAATCTGTGTTGTATATCATAAATCCAGCTGTGAGACTGAAATAAATGTTATCCAAACATGATCATTTAAAGGAAAAAGTATTTGTGGCCTTTTGTTATTTTCTCTAACATGTCTCTTCTCCTTCTCACAATTGCAGGTTCAAAGTTTTCTTCTGCACTTTTGGCAAGGGATGCCTCCTCATATGCTGCCTGTACTGGGTTCTTCAACCGTAGTAAATATAGTTGGAGTTTGTGACTCGATTTTATACAAAGCAATTTCTGGAGTTTTGATGCCAACAGTACTGCAAGCACTACCCGACAGGTCAGTATAACTGACTGCACTGGTCATTTCTACATATCTCAGCTGTCTTTATTATATATCTTCTCTTTGCAAAAGGCACCAATTCTCACAAAGCTGCACGTTTCCACCTGAGTTTAAATCACATGCCAGTTCAAAGGAGCTGAATGCTGACATGTCTGTGGAAAAAAACATATTGATTTTAATAACACTTGTGTTGTGAAAAGTGTGACTTTTTTGTGTGATAAAGGAGAAGACTTTCTTCTTGGTTTATTACCATCAAGCTGATAGTCATGTCCCGCCTTTCAGGGAATATCAGAAATCTGCAGCTGCAGAATGACACGTTCCTTCATTTTCTGACAGTTTTCAGATACATTTCTGCTAATCTAGTGTAGCAAGATAACAGTACTCTGAATAACAGTGACCAAAGCTGGCCTGGCTGCTCTGTCTGTAAATACTCTCTTGCATATTCAGGCACTGCAACTTAAGCATTTGTCTATGTTTACACTCTTGGAACCCAATTGTTATTCCGCTTGCCAAGAGCAGAAAATATGAAGATTGTACTTGAGAAGTCTCAGACAACCTGGATTAATTTAAAGGCTATACTGTGATGAACAGATGCACACTTATTTAAGGATCACTTCATTAATATTAACAAGTATTTGATTCCGTTGTTTCAGAGCTCAGTTTTCTTTGCCAATCCACAAGGTAGATGTCATCTTTTCTCTCCCTACCTGGAGCACATCTGAGTCCAAGAAATCTTAATCATGTAGAGAAAACAGAACAGAGATCAACATTTTAGAGCATAAAGTGTAATTACTGTGTAGTCGACCTATTCCTCTATTTGATTTTCCTAATATAAACATCAGGAAACATTCTTTTTCTAAATATTTATTCACCTTTATTATTATTTGATACTTTCCTGAGGTTAAATAATTGTTACATTTATTCCTTTAAGAGTTTAATATTGGCGCTGTATATTTAGCCTTCAGGATTGTAATGCAGCTCTAATTACAGCACATGTTTTTGAGATGTCATTCTATGCTCCTAAATTGGTGACTGCTGTTTGCAGTGTATGACTGCTAAAGTACAGACAAAGTATTTTTTCCATGAGAAACCTGTTATAAGCATGGGATTTCCTTGATATGTACATTTTTGCAGGCTTTGCCTTCTCCACTCCCCCCCCCCCCCCCAAAAAAAAAATCTATTTCATTGGAAGGATTAAACAGAACAGCAGTCCTTTTCTCAAGCTGCTTAGCTCTTTCATAGCAAATAAGGAGAGACTTGAGTGTGAATATGGACTTTTGTAATGCATATAAAGGGCCAGATTGTGGCTATTAAGCCATAGCCTGCACTGGAGGGGGTGAAGAAGGGTCTCACTGCAATGGAAGCTCCTGAAGGAAATCTTGCTGACTCAGCCAGAATCTTCTGAGGAACTTCCTGGGAATGAATGTTGGCTGTACAGAAAAAAACACTTTTTAGAGGATGCAACAGATGCCATCCGTCCGCTATCCTCGGTGTCTCTGCAAAGCAGATCAGATCTATGGCAACAGTTATTTTACCACCTCTGTCCTCTGTGCAGTGTGTGTTGGAGTACAACAGAATGGCTGCCTGGCAGCATGAAGTACAGTTCCTTACGTCCTTCCTCTGTCTATGTATCTTGAGTGTTAGAACGTGTGTGCATCTTGAGTGCTACAGGCAGCGCAGCTCAGTCTGGCAGAACCAAGTGCAGGTCTCCCCTACATCATACCCCGAACTTTTCCTGGAAATTGACATTTTTCACTGAGCAATTTAAAAGAAGGGCTTTCCAAATTTAGGAGGAAATGATGGGGCCATCTAGCAAAGGGCTGTAAGGAAGAAGAGAGAAATCTCATTCATCTAGGAAAGTTCTTGCCTTGCTCAGAGCTAAGCAGGAAGGTTTTGCTGTGCCCACGCATACAGTCTAGAAATTCCTGACTGTCACAGCCACCCCTTCAATGGCTTCAGTCTGGAGCACAGTTGGTTATTGCTTCACTTACATGTGTCTGTGTCCATTTGTATAAATTTAGGGACAAATGGCCTGAAATCCCAGGCTTGATCTATTGTTGTCTTCTTTAAATAAATGTGATTTTATGTTTTTATATTTTATGATTTTATCCTAAGCTAAAAAAAAAAAAAAAAAAAGAAAAAAAAAAAAAAAAGATTTATAAGAATCAATACAGTGCATACAGAGATTTTCATTCTCTGTGGTGTTACATTTTTCTGGAAAGGCTTTCAGAAGTTTTCCTTCATGTCTGCAGACCAAAACATGTTCAGCAACTCTGCATAATAGTGAGGTGTAAATAATTGACCTGTAGTGTTCACATGTTCACAATTCTTATAGAAGACACAGAGTATATGTTCTGATGTAGTGATTTCTCTTCTAAGTTTGACACAGGTGATCAGAAAGTTTGCAAAGCAACTGGATGAGTGGCTAAAAGTAGCTCTCCATGACTTGCCAGAAAATCTACGAAATATCAAATTTGAATGTAAGTATTGCCAAATCTCTCCTATTAATCTGGGAAATATGTAATGTTAATGTTTAGAAATTAATTGGAAGTGAACCTTGAGTTCTTTTAAGAATTAAATACTGACAGCATTGTTAATCTTGCATTCACTTCCAAGCTCCACTTGCTCGTGAGAACCAATTTCATTTAGTGAAATGAGGCAGTGCCCCAAGTGAGAAAAATTACTTTTCCTTTCTTGTGAGTTCTGATAAGAAATTAATTTTGTTGATAGTAAGCAAACATTAGGGATATTAGGCAAAGAAAATTATTAAACAAACCTTTAGGGTAGCACAATTTGAATACAGCTTGAGGCCCTTGCTCAAAAAAGTGCCAGAGTTAAAAATGAAGGAGATCAAATTACCCTGTCGCCACAGGAAAGGGCACTAGCCCTATTCAGACATGCTTTGTAGATGCCTGCAGTGCACATCACCTATTGATAAAGCCTGCTTTATTTCACGGCTCTCAATTCTTTGCCTTTCATGAGCACTAAATTCCACACCACAAAGTTAAAGAGGTAAAAAAAAAAAAAAAAAAAAAAAAACTAATTTAGGAGAAGGATTAACTATTTTGATCAGCACGGAAAATTAGAAGTATATTTTACAGAGAACACTCTAGAATGTGAGTTAGAATAACTAATTTTAGGTTTTTGTGTGTTGTTTACTAATTCATTTTAAAAGTTACAGAAAGTCAGAGCTGAGAGCATGCTTTATCACATCTTTCTCTGTTCAAAATTATCAAGGATCTGCAACAATTTTCCAATTCTGCCGGGAAAGAGAAAGAGACAGACGATGCACTTTCTACTCATTCTTGAACAATGCTCTTTAACCGAGGAAACTCCTACTCTGTGACTACATCTAAGGCCTGTTTGGATAGCTCTGCAGGCCTTTTGTGATTTTATAAGAAAAACATTGAGTCCAACCTAGCACATACATCCTAGCCTTTGTCATTTCTGCAATTTTTTCCTCCTAATCAAAAGTTGTGATCAAAGGAATTACTGTGACATACATTACTGTGATTACAAAGGAATGGAGAAACTGCAAGTCTTGGTTGTATTTGCAGTTCTTAAGTCATATAATTCAGACAAAATATGATCAACAAAACATTTTAAAATTCCAGTTTCCGAGTACAAGAAGTATCTTAATACAAAGTCCAAATCCTCTTGGAAAGAGATAAAGAGAGATGGCAAGTACCTCATAGGCTCTCTTATGCCATTGCATGTTAGTGTGTCATGTAATCACTTTAGAAACTTTAATCAAATTTTACCTGAAACTGTCTCAGATTTTAGCTCCTTCCTTAGTCCAGTCTGAAGGCTGCTCTAAAACCTGTTTGCATTAAAACTTAGGAAACTTTTCTGATTTCCTAATAAAATGTTGCTGTCCTTATGTTTTGCCCACTTGTTCTTGCACCAACATTTTTCTTCCTGTTAAATAGTTCAGTCTTTATGGCTTTCAGCTCTTTTGTGTATCAGGAGAAAATTTGCTATGCTAAACAAGCAAAGCTCTTCCATTGTCCTCTACGTTTCCCTTGTCCTCTCGTTATTCACAGCATCTATAAATCATCACTTGTAATATGCCTCTGTAAAATTGATTGACTATCCACATTTAAGGTTATAGGTCAAGGCTTAAACTAAGTTAAAACTGTGCTATTCATGCAAACAGTATGTTGCCATAATTGAATGTAAAAAACTGGATATGTTTTTTCAGTGCTGATTTGAATTCAGAATTTTCAGAAATAAAGGATTTTACTTATTTAGCACAGTATGTAAGTATATATCTCCTCTTTCCTACAGTGTCCAGAAGATTCTCACAAATACTCCGGCGACAGACGTCACTAAATCATCTGTGCCAAGTAAATATTTCAATTATCTGAGTTTGCTGAATGCCATTTTTACTGATTTGTAAAATAATTCATTAAATTGGCAAGCTGGACTTTACTCAAAGAGGAAGAGATCATGTTAGCAGTTTCTTTCCAACATTTACTATGACCATCTTTACAAAATCAAGAACTAATCAACAAAAGTACTTTGCTAGAGAGCTAGAAGCCACACTGATCATTAAATTAAGCAGAAAACATTTTGAAGCAAATTTAGGATATGATTTGAGAGGATTCATTGGTTTAAGTGAGGCTTGAATCAGGTCTATTATGGAGACAGAAAAATTTATATATGTCTGACAAAAACTTCCAAGTGTAATTGCATATTATAAATCAAAAGTAAATCAGTGAAAAACAAAAGGGTTGAACCACTTGGGTTTTAAATGAAAATATTTTTATGACCACAGCAAGGGAATGTAAGAAAATCACCCTGAACTGTTTGCTTTCACCAGCTACTTTAGGTGACAATTACCTATCAAAAATTAATGAGGCCATACTCCATGTAGTACGAAATAGGGGAGAATGCATTGGGTTAATTAAGGTTTCACATATATATTGAGCAGGTAGTTTGCTTTCCTTATTAGTTTTTAAGCTTTACATTTGAAAGGTATATCTAGCACCCAGGATAACCCTGAGAGTCAGGAAGCCCACAGGAAGAAACTTGGGCGGGGGGGGGCAAATGCTTCTGGAAGGACACCTTTGTAGATTTCTTCCCTCCATTCCCTCCCCTTCCCACAGTGGAATGTCACTGAGCTTTGAAGGTTTGTAGAGGTTCAGAGGAAATCAGTATGCAGAGACCACAACCTTCTGCATCAGGCTTGGGATCCAACAGTCTCTTTACATTGAAGGATTATTCAAATGTATAATTTCCTTGGGGAATCTGGTAACCTTAGTGTGTCTGTCATCTCTGTTTCACTTACAGAGATCTGGTGTGTGTCGTATTAGCTTGAAATTTTGTCGCTTCCTTTTCTATCACCCTATTCTTGCCATTATCACCAGCAGAACCCTGCATGAGGCAGATATAGAGAGGCAAATGATCTTCAGCTTTTTCTTGTGGCTGAGGGAAGAATGGGAGTCTTCATAGAGTGGGAGAGCGTGGACTGTAAACCCTTATAAGGTTCCTTTGGTTTTGGCTTCATTTTTGCTGTTGCTTTTAATTTTGACCTCAAGCAAACTGAAAAACCAATGGAGCTTTTTAATTTGGAGAGTCCATATTTTGGGTTTGTGGTGAGTGTGAGCAAAATATTTGCTGTTAATTGAACAAGGCAAACTGATTTCAAAGTTCATTGTGGTAAGAGGGCTCTGTAACTTCCGTAAGATATCTGTTCAGTGGGTAGGGTTGAATGAGGAGAATCAATTTAGTGAGCCTAGCTAAGGAAGCGGAAAAGGGGATAAAGGTTATTTTTTTTAATCAAATAAACCATGAACTAATGAAGAGATTGGATTGGATTACAGGCATCAAGAACGGTGATCCACAGTGCAGACATCACTTTTCAAATGCTAGAGGACTGGAGGAATGTGGATCTGAATAGCATTACCAAACAAACCCTCTATACTATGGAGGACTCACGGGAGGAGCACAGAAAACTCATCATACAATGTAAGAGATGAACCCTCAAATAACGCCAGGTGAACCTTGGTTTCTTGTTGGAAAAAAACCCTCGGTAAAAGTAATGTTTTTGCAGCTATTCGTTTGCTTAAGGAGATATTTCTCAAAACAACAGGCAAATCTTTTTTAAGGTCTTATATTTTAAGGCATAGATCTGGGCACTCCTTCATTACAGACTTTCTTTCTAGTATCTAGAACACCCAGTGGCACAGAACATGCACCAAATTGAGGGGGAGTTGTTTTTTTTTTGCCATGGACATGGGCAAAGTAAATCTATGCATTAGCCATTGGAGCTAATGAAGTCCATCTACCCTGCTGTAAAATTGTTGGGGAATTGTCTTTTGGAGGTGTTTGCCCCCAAATGGCTTTGAGTGCCTTGTAAATTTTATTTGTAAATAGCTCCATTTCACATGGTATTTTCTTAAACAAAGGAATTTGATGGGATGAAGCTTTTACCCTGAACTTTTATGAATAAATAAATGTGCTGTATTAAGCAAGTTAATTGACTAATTTAGATTCTTTGTAGTGTAGTGAAAGGCATGAACTGAAAAGTGACTTTGGAGATGCTGGCAAATTGGTTTCATAGTCAAAGATCTTATTTTGCACTTATAAAATCTGATTTGTCTTGTCAAGCAAATGTGACTGTGACTGTAAGGTTGTGTTTAACCCTGAGCACACTGAGTTTGTTCCTCCAAAACACTGGTATTGATTAGCTTTGTCTTTAGCATCATTCGTAATTTTGGTTCCCTTCAAACCCATCTGCTGTATTGATCTGACTCCTTAGGATCAGTCATGTCTCATCCTGGACCAGCTTTAATGGGGATCCACCCGGATACTATTTGTGGGAGCCCTACATGGGTACATTTGCTAGAGGGGTGATTCTTTCAGTGTGTGGTTAGAAAGAGGGTGATACATTCACATGAACACTGGGCCCTGCAGAGTTGACATTGGCTCTTCTCTCACACCCATCTTGTCTCACTATGGTAACAGTGTGGTAAAAGTCTTCTCTCCTTTTTAGGAATGGGTCTTACATCCTCTGCTACCTTTTCAGTGAGATGTGCTTTGTACCCTTACCTATCCTTCTTAAGGAAGATTCACCTCCTTACATGGTGCTCTTCCATTCTTAAGGGTATGAAACCTGACATAGCAACAGGGGAAGTAGAGAATAGTGAGAGTGGAGTATAGAAGCTTGCTACATTTTTCTGCCATCTGTTATGTGTCTACCCAGCATCCACCCACTGACCAAAATGTAATGAATTCTCAAAGATATAATCCCTAGGAGCAGCAATAGTTTCGGCTCTCATTCAGAAAATTCTCACTGTTTAGGAAATATTTTTATATGTGTGCTGAATATTTAAATACAAACTTAAGTATCATCAAATCAAATGGAATTTTCTTGAATGCAGATGGATTTGAACATACATTTTTCCATATTGTAGGTCCATATATTTCAATAAGCAAAAAACAGAAGCTCACAGAAATGGTAATCTAATATACATGTTCAACATGTGGTGGGATTCCACAGGGATGTCAAATATATAGAAAGCTTATTCTAAATCTTACAGCTTTTTCCCTCATCGTTGATATACGTTCTACTTGGCCAAAGAGCATCTCAGAGGTTACACTTTCTGTGACTCATCACATGCAGGCCTGCTTGCACGTTCTTGGCATTAAGAACCAAGAAAGTACAATTTTCAGCTACTATCTCTCAGGGGAAAAAAATGATAATAACAAAAAAAAGTTCATAAACTTATAAGTAAAGTTAGAGAGAAACACTGTAAAATCATTGGGTAGATGAGAAGCTATTTCTTGCTCAGGTACAGTCGCTGTCTTTGACCTGCTTTCTTCTTTATTCCCACTGTTCTCAGATCCCGTATTTCTAACAGTCACTAAAGGCTAAGCAATTACTTTTCTCAAATAGCTGATGGTACATGGTTGCAATGCCCCACAGATGCAATGCTCCTGCATTGCCAAAGCAGGCGACTGATTTGTTTTTCTACTGTTGCTCACCTCTTTGCACAGCATGTGAATTATTGCATCTATTGGCAATTTCTGTCCAGCCAAATACTCAGATAAAAAGACAAAATTTGGATTTCTCTGAGATCTTATCCTGAATAAAGGTGCCCATTCAGTAAGAAAAAGCAAAACAAGATAAAAGCAGCTCAAACATCATTATTTCCCTTCTTCCATGATCAAGTTTCTGACCATCCAGCCTTTGCAAGTGTAAGTTAAACCAAGTTTTAAGTGGGCGCAAAAGCTTTCCTGCTTATCTTGCAGATTCATCATGGGATGCTATTGCTCCATTTAGACCACTGAGCTCCTTCTTTGCTTTAATCTCAGACAGTCTCTCTGGCTCACTTCTCCACTGGCTCCACTTCTCGCTATCACCTCTAAACTTGGTCTCCTCCACCTCCCCCACTATCTGCTTCCTATGGTGGGAAATTCTTCCCCCTTGTTATTTGCAATTAAGCATAAATGGAAATGCATAGCACATTGAGATCATCCTGTGACACAGCAGGTAGAAAGTGTCTTTCTTCTTGATTTACTGGGCCTTTTATTTTAGCTGGGTTGAAGAGCAGTTTCTTAAGGTCAAATCACAGCTCATGATTCTTTGCCTTTTAGTCCTTGATTCTCATTAATAAACTGGAGACTTGCAGGTTTAAGAGCTGCAGTTTAATTATTTAATTGTTTTTTACTTTCTGTACTAAAGTATGAATTCACTAACTTGGGAAAGGTTAAAAAGTATTTGTGTTGCTTTTTGAAACTACTTCATAGCATTTGTGCTTTGGTAACAATTTGTTCTGAAGAAGTAGAAGTTTATGGAACTTCTTTGTGTGTGTCTGGCATTGCAAACAGATGATTTGCAGCAGCAAAATAATGTTTTTTGCAACTAAAGCATTATACGAAGAGAGCACTATCAACAATACTCATCTATTTGATGCTCAAAGATTCTTTATGCGTTTCTAAATCAATTTCATGCATGACCTTTTTTCATCACCAGGGTCAAGGCCTAGCTTCACACTCTTCATAGCAAACACCATAAATGTTTCATTTCCGGGCACCACAGACAGCTGAAGGTTAAATCAAAAGAAGAACTTTAAATAATAGGTCCTGATTTGCTCGCACCTAAATGCTACTTCCAATGACTCTATCATTTTCAGAAGAAGCAAGATGGAGACCAGGAAAAATTACTGGGTCAGCACCAAGGAAATTATATTTGTCATGGCCGAGCAATCTATTATAAAAAAAAAACATAGCAAGTTGGTCATGTTATTGGCAGCTTTTTCTGTTTTGTTTCTGTTTTGCTCTAAATGGAATTCAAGCACTGAAGTGGGCTGTTTTTTTGCTTTGTCTGCCAGTGTATCAGGAGTTTGATCACCTTCTGGAGGAGCAGTCCCCCATTGAGTCATACATTGAGTGGCTGGATTCCATGGTGGACAGATGTGTTGTAAAGGTTGGTAAAGAATAAGGACTTGAGTCACCGATGTGCTTTTTGAGCTCTGTTCAGGTCATAGATCATTAGCAAAAACAGAAAAAGAGAAAGTGAAGTGGTGTAGTAAGCAGAAGTAAAGCAGCAGCAGATAAAATGTCCCCACCTTTCATGCACAGTACGAGAACTGCGCACATTCAGAATTCTGGTTCACTCTGCTCTTGTCTGCCCAACTCAAAAAGTATTCAAGAATGGAACAGGACTAAGATTTTCAGTCAAATAATATTTCAAAAGTATGGAGAGATGAGCTCAGAGCTGTTCTAACTATGCAGTGCAAATGAAAATGGTAATCTGGTTTGTCCTTTTAAGATTTTAATAAGAGAGATATTTAGGCCAGCTAATTAATTTATATGCTCTCAAATGTAAAGAGGAATGTCTATGTTACAAATTTATACTGTATTTTCAGTTGATTTGAGATAACCAGGGCTTGTACTTTTTTTTGACTGGATGCAAAAATATATTAAAAAATCTTCAAAGAATATTTTCAAAAGTGATCATGCATCATCATTGTATTAAGTAGAGTATGTAACTATGTTATGAACAAACTAACTTCTGTCATCAACTGTGTTTTGTATTAGGATGTTCTTTTGCAATTTCAACTCTTCATTCCAGATTTCCTTTTTAGAGATAGTAAGTAAAAATACATGTGCTGCCTTTCTCTCTGCTGAAAAAAAAAATTGATACAAAAAACCTACAGGCACTTCCCCAGATTACTTGAAATATTTTGATTGCTTTGGAGTACTCTTCTTGGATTATTAAAATGCAATTTTAAATGCAGACCATGGTTTGCATGAAGAATTTCAAGATGGAGTTTCATTAGATAACTGAATGAACCTAATTTGTTAACCAACGTATGTCCCTGTCAAATAAGTTTCATGGAGTTGATGCCTGAAGTGTTCTTTCTGGGGAGTATTTTTGCTAGTAATATGTCTATTCATATTCACAACATGACAAAACTCTAATTGAAGTGCTAATATACGTTTTCAGCATAGATCAAGCACTCTTGATTACTCATTGTTTCCTTGTCTAGGAATGATCATATAAGTGATTAGGTTAAAATGAAGACTGGGGCTTTCTTGGGCAGTTCTTTTCTCATTCATAAAGGGAAGTCACTCTCAGAGTTCAATGGTAGTTCTGCTTTTCTCTTTCCAGTGTTTGTATATAGTTGCAAGTTGGCTTTCTGGGTAGGTTTTTTTTTGTTTTTGTTTGTTTTGAATTTTTAGTGTTTATTTTAATGTGAGATTAATGGTAAGTAGTTTTTCAGTTTTAAAAATGGAACATAGATACATGCATTATTCATCTGTATCAAATGGTGGAAATGAAAATTTTGCCATGTTAGATGTATCTGTTTTCTTGCAGGTAGCTGCCAAGAGACCAGGCTCTTTGAAGAAAGTAGCTCAGCAGTTTCTCCTGATGTGGTCCTGTTTTGGCACTCGAGTGATTCGGGACATGACTTTGCACAGTGCACCCAGCTTTGGTACTTTCAGTGCTTTCATTTTGTTGTACTACTTGCATGACACAGACCAAAAAAGACTACATGGCTGGTAGTTTTCATGTGTCCGGGGCTCTTCTACCAAAAAAAAAAAAAAAAAAAAAGAGTCAAGGCTGCTAACTCATATGGATGTTTTCCTTCAAATCCTAGCCAGAAGAGTGCAAAATGCTGTTATTTCTGTTAGTTGTAGCCAGAGTTATCAGTCACAGGTCAGCTTGAGGAGTCAATCATTGGAGCATTCCCTAATGCACTTCTGTGCAGTCAGCCAGGTTACCTAAACTGCTATGGCCGTGTTATGCTAAGATAAGTGATTTTGTGCCCAAGCAGACAAAAAGCTTGCCAGTGAGCCATTTTGCTAGCTTTGCTTTTAAAGAACTTGGCTTTTTAATCTAGACTTTGCAGAGTGGACCTATTTGTGTGTCCTATACAGATTGCCTTCCATTCTACCAGAACACAATCAGGATAGAAAGGTGATTTCTATCTACTAAACAAGATGTTGTTTAGTAGTGAAAATGCATGCTGTTTTTCCACGTGGTTTCAAAAGGAGATTTGCCTTGACCTCCTGGGATAGAAACAGCATCAGTTATAAAATCAGTTTAAGATCGGTGATTGAAAATGGACTGTTGTGTTATGAGTGTAAACATTTGTGGTTATTTGCAACTAGAGTTTGAATTAGGGATGTTTTTTGAATGTGCATATTTGCCAGGACGTAGTCATAGAAGATTAATAAGAAGTGAACTTATAAAGGCAGCGTATTGAACAACTGCAAAGTTTTCTGCCGCCTGTGTTCTGCCATTAGATGACATTCAGAAACCATCAGAAACAGGAACTCAGAGTAGAATTTATAATTTAATATGAAACTTCTTTCATCACCTTTTCCCTTGTAAAGGGTTTTTCCAGCAGCTATTAGTGAGTCACTATTAGACATCAGGTTAGTGAGCATTCCCAAGACGAACACAGTTTCCATCTGCTAGATTCTGTTTTCAGCACCAGTATCCTGATCATATCTATTTTGAACGTCCTCTAGGACTCATTTTCTCCTTGAGTTATGGCAGCTTTTCTTTTGTTGTGGGCATAAAAAGAGCTGATACTGCTTAACAGAGTATACATTCCCACAGTATTCAAAAATCCCTTCGTATGAAGGAATGCTGAATTTTGTGCTCCAGCACTTTGTGTTGCCACACATCTCTCTATGGACGTAAACCTAAACCTGTGAAATACACCAGCAGCCAGCAAATGAAGAAAACACTTTCTATTGGTTGTCTGTTGTTGTCTGAAAGTGATTCTCAGCTCTGATTAGTAATAGAAACATTTATGAACTTGCTGTGTTTCAAGAAAATGTGAAGATTGGCAATTATTCACTTGTTCGAGTTTGGGACCCATGACACTACAACGTATTAGATCTGCCAAAATAACTTACCTGCTCTCTCTCTTATAAATGTGAGTCTTGAATTTCTCATTTATGAGAACTTTAACTGCTCAGTCTTATCATTTGTTTATTTTTGTCTTTATAACTCAGTGCATGTAACTGCATACAAACTCATGATTCTCTTTATATGGATGCACATCTTCAAACATGAATTTGATATTTTATATATAGCTGCAGTCAGGAAAAAAAACAGTCATAAATGATGTGTTTTTCATGGGTGGTCTGTGCTATTTGGTGCTGAGGGACATGGCCAGAGGGCATGGTGGTGATGGGTCGACGGTTGGACTAGATAATTTTAGTGGCCTTTTCCAACCTTGATGATTCTGTGACTCTATAATTTTATAATTAGAACTAGACCAATAACAGCTTTTAATTTGATAGCAAAAACAGGATTTAAAAAAAATCATTAATTCTATTGCATCTGCCATCTTTCACTGCTTAGCCCAGTTACCTGCCTCAGCAGTGTTAGATTTCTAGACAAAGGAGTAGAGAATCCACTGGAAGGATTTTCTCATCTTTTTTGTTGAAATTGTTTTACTTACGTACAAACCACTTTAAAATTTGTTGAACCACAGTGGTCTGCAGCCTGCTAGGTGGAATTCTCTTCTGGGAGTGAGATGGCAAGCATTGGCCCAGTCCCAGTTCTAACCCTTATTTGAAGTGGGATCTGCTCAGATCCAGCTCCAGTGGAGGAAGGAGGAGCTCTGAGCCTTGGGTTTTCAGGGAGGAAACCAGACCTAAATCATACCCTCATCCTATCAGGGAAAAGCCTGGGTTATCCCTACCTTATTTCTTCAAAAATAAACCAAATGTTATTTAGCTGCAGACACAAAATTATGATAATTTGTACTAATGTTGTTAAACTTTCACAGCAATGCCATTTGACACATTGTTCATGGCTTAGAGTCAAGCAAATTCCAAGAGGAAAAAAAACCACCTGAATGTAAACAGATGAAAGCTAGAAGTCAGTGACTCTTCTGTGCTTAATAAAGTTCCTTCTAGCCTTTCACCATAGCACATGCATTTAGGTGAGAAACAAAGACGTTTTCAGGAGGCACACTCCTGAAGATTTATATTTGTATACCTTTGCTCTTAACTTAGAGAAAAAGTTTTGCATTTTTATGTCATTGTATATTTACTGTATTTACTACTTTACTACATAAGTTTCAGTGGACTGATTTTTGCTTATTTTTTCCACTCGGATGCTCATGATGTTATTCAGATTAAAAAGAGGGAGGTTGTGTTAGGTGCTGAGGTCTTTATATACGCAGGGCACTATATTTCTGTCTGTGAAATAGATTATATGGAAATTTGATTAGAGAAAGTTGCAGCGTCTGGCACTGGACTGGCAAGCAGAGAGATTTGATTCTGCAAAGCTTTTACTTGTGGTGACATGGGCAGGATGAAACAATCTTAGCCAAGATAAAGCTCCTATCTTTCCCTCTCCCTTTTTCTCTCTCCTGGCCTCCCTCCCTCCTTCCTATCTATGCATATCAAAGGCACAGTTGGTGGTGATGTTTGGGTAATGCATCCAGTCTATTAACATAACTAATTAGTAATAGAAGCTCCATGTGCCATGATTTTTTCCAAGTCTCGACATCTCACTGTTGGTTTGTTTTTTTTTTTGCTACTTACACATCATTGCCATATCTGTTAATAGCAGATGATATTTACTGTATGTTACCTGAGTAATCATTGCCATGATTTCAGTTAACTCAATCTGAAAATTACAGCCAAATACTATTTATTATTATAATTGCAGTCTCCTGAATAACATCTTCCCTCTTCCTAAAGCAGCAGTAAGGTTTACCAGCCACAGCTGTATCCTTTTCACTGCTTAAAGATATACTTGAACGAGCTAAACAGTTTAATGTGAAAAACAGTAGCTTGCAAGCACAGAATAATTTACTGCACATTGTGCTGAACAGCTATTCACTGGGTTGCTGAAATACATGCCTTGATACTGGTTTCAGTCTGTAGCTTACATTACTTTTGAATCATTTGGAAATGTAAAAATATTGCATTCATTCAGTATCAACAACTTGTTTGTCTGGCGTCTTTCATGCAAATTCCGGGCTCAAAAACTCTATACAGAGTTTAAAAATACACAGTGGGAGAAATAATAGAGGAGGAAGAGAGAAATTCAAAAGAATGACAAGGGTGCTGGGATGTTTTTAAATGCTGCATTCAGTATTGCCAACCCCAAGTCTTCAAAACAGAGCATTAGACCCCCCCAAAAACAAAGACTATTTTTTTAAATAGCAAATCTTGCATTCTTGTCATTTGCTTGGTAGCATTTGAGTGCTTAGGGTTCACACTTGCAAGCGTTTTTTTATGAAACTATAAGCAACTTTCTTTTGATTTCTTATTTAAATGAAAGAGAGTGAAGAGTTTGGTGACAAACCCCAAATACCCTGAGCCTTTTGCCACCACGTGAGGTTTCACAGCACTGAGGCCTGATTTTCTTACCTTGGAAAATCTCATGAGCAGGAGCTGCGCTGAAATCAGTAAGACTTGGATCTTCTTAATAATCTCTTTTTTTCACTGGAGGAGCTCTGAATCAGTAACAAGGTGATCAATCAGGTCCAATGTCTTCATAATACTGCTATGTTACATAGGGTTTTATTTAATAAGACTTCTAATTCAAAAGATCTTTAAAACAGAACTTCAGAAGTAATCAGGTGATGATCTCCAGTATTTATCCTTGCAAGGCTGGGGAAACATGCTATCATTTTGACTTGCATAGATGTGGAAACAAAACCTGAATGCTTCAGGTTCAAGAAGAGCCAAAGATTTCCTCCTCTGAGCAAAGGTGTTGCAATCATGTATGTTTATCTCTGCTGCCTTGCCCAAGAACACAAAGGCTCACATTCTCTTCCCCGTGTGTGCACTCTGCTTGTATCAGTGATGGCAGAAGCCATGCAGGCATGGAGTAAGAGAAAGAAACACAAAGACCATCAGGTCACAAAGAAAAAGAATGTGCTCAGAGTTGCTTTGAAAGCTGGATTGCCAGCTAGAACTGTATAAGGATATAGGGCCTTTCAAAACACTTCTTCTCCCTTCAACAGTATATTTCAGTGTAGAAACTGGACTAGAGGTATACTTATGCTTCACCATGATAAAATCTAGTGTCCCAAGATAAAGCTAACTTTCCAAAGAACAAATCAGTTGTTATGATACTTAATTGAATTTGAAATTTGTTGCATCTTTTTTTCTTCCATAGAAGTATTTTCCTCAATATGTGTTAATGGGATTTCAAAAAGAACACATCTGGATGATCAGGTGCTTTTTTTTTTTGACTGGTGGTAACCGATCTCTGTTTCTCAGCTTGTGATTTTTCTCCTGTTTAAATCACAGGCTGCTGGAGCAGCTGCTAATTTAAGCTGGCTGCATTTGCATGTGTTAGAGTTATCTGACCACTAACATGAGCATGTTTTAAATATTCCATACAAGTCTAAATAAACCTAGGAGCTTTTCAAAAAAGCATTGTGTGATCAAGCCCTGTCTGCAGCTATTACAGGTATTGTATGTCGTGGAGTCTACTGTGTAAACTGACCAAACCCCATCTTGATACTTGTCAGTCTCCCTCTCAAAATGAATGTGATTCCTTTCAGGAAGAAACTACACAGTGTCCCAGTCCTCATGCTTTGCTTCTTTAATTTTCGGTTGAAATGCATCTATGGTCTCTTCTAACACATCTATTTTTGTGGATATGTATGCTCTGGGGCAAATGTTTGTTCACCACCCCAGACAACTATTTTTCTTTATACATTATGGAAAGCAATTCCTTTTCCCTTCTGTAAAATGAAGCCAGAAAAGCATTTTTAATAATTTGAAATCTATTGTCCATTTCCCACATCCTCCTGGTAATCTCCATACCAGTTTAAGCTTGTACAGATTTTTCTTGGACATTGGCAACTAGAGTTACGTGCAGTATTCCAAGTGAGCTTTCACCAGTGCCTTGTGCAATAATTTTAATACTTCCATTTCCAGAGAGGCATGTAACTACATTCACTGCCAACTGCATCAGAGGTTTGTCTACTAATTTATCCTCAGCTCTGTCATTTGTAATTGAGAAACTTAAAGATTAAGGTTTTCTACAAATCCCTAAGGATAGAACTTCTTACATTGTGCTAAAAAATTTTTATTTCTATTACTCTAGTCTATAGCATCTCCCAGTAGTTCCTCCTAACAACATTAACAAGTTCTCCATCTGTGCTCAGCTCTCACTTGAGGATTTGTGGCAGAGCACTAACAACATAATCTCTTTTTACTACTAATTTTCAAGTTCTTTGACTCCATCCCAACATTTTGTTTTGTCTGTACTTCTTCTTTTTAGTACCTTTTTTTTCACATTCCTGTCATGGCTGTTAAGAAAGAGTACAACAGAAAAGATAATAGCACAGAAAACAGGCCAAATTTTATACTGTTGATATGATTCAAACTGGTAATTAGGTAAAAAAAAATGTGGTAGGAAAAGTAAGAGGAAGCAAAACTGAGGCAAAAGACTTTCCTTTACGATATGTAGAATTGCTGGTGATGCCTCTGTGTCTGACAGATAACGTGTGCCTCAAGCAGCCCAGGCAATGCACTGGAGGTATACCACCAGGAGATCTGGAAGGCTGTTCCTACCTTTCTATGGATTAATCTCTCATTCATTTCATTGTCCAATGACACAGGTGCTTCAGTTTTGTTTTGTTTTGGTTTTTTTTACCAGAACATCACGAGGGCAGTCAATTTAGGAATATACTTCTGACAGAAATTTGTATCTGATACCATAGATAATTTCACTTGCAGTGTAACTGTCTAAACTGTTCAATTCTAATGCAGGAAAAGAAAACTCGATATCAAGTCCCAGATCTCAGGTAGGCAGCCTCTTTAACCACAACAGTTGGTCGTATATGCCTGCGTAAGTGCAGGAGTGGATAGTATGCTGGTCCCTAGATTTACTTTGACCTCTTTTACTTTGAGTACCCGGCATACTGCAGTGGTAGTGCAATATTGAGGCAGTTCTACTCAGTGCCTTTTGTGTCGAATCCCCTAATCACTGGTTTAATGAGTGTATTGAGACAGTGAATGGCTTTTCTGTTTGTTCACTTTATTACCAGGGTCTTTTCACCTTATTCACTTGATGTTTGATGACTACGTATTGTACCTGCTAGAATCACTCCATTGTCAAGAAAGAGCTAATGAGCTAATGAGGGCAATGAAAGGAGAAGGAAGCACAGGTGAGTTTGTTCTTTTATTCATCATTTGTTGTTTTACTCCACTGGATTCACTGTTTTCTTTATCCTCGCCTAACCCTGTGAGTCCTATCTAGGAGTGCAACGCTGTTTTTTGGTTCCATCATGATTTGAAATCTGTCATTTGTCAAGGGGCTTCCTGGAGTTAATGCATTCTGAAAGAGACCTGCTTCATGGTCTGACTCTGGATGTCTGAAATACTATTCCTGAGCACAGACTCAGTTTTTCAAATAGAGAACCTTTTGCCTCAGTTGATCTGTGTAAGCCACCTTTGCATTTCAGTGGGCCCAGTCTTGATTCTTTCTCACCCTTGTTTCACACTAAATAAACTCATATCACTGGGTTTGTATCAACCTGAATAAAAGGGAGATACAAGAATTGAGCAAGTAAATTAAAAAAAAAAAAGGCTAGAATTTCTGATGCATTTAAATTCTGATTTCTGTACAGAAGCAAATTCCTTGCCCTGTTCTACTTTGCACTGAGTTGCCAGAACAGAAGCAGACAGAGACTGCCATTAGTCTCTCTGCTCAGGGATGCTCCTGATCCACACTGATCTTCCTTCCTTGCATCTTCCATAAATTTTGGAAAGTTAAATCACTTTGTCATCATATCTTACAGGAATAAAGCCCTACACTGTCTATGCACATATTTCTTACATGTACGTCAGGAAGAATAGCACTTTTCTATAAGAGATCTTATTAAAATAAACTCACGTTGGTAATACTGAATCTTACTGAAGTGCTTCTTTCAAAGATTTATGTGAGTCCTGCTATGGATTTTGTGAATTATGCAAAGAACTTAACTGCTCACATAGTATTTCTATGGTTTCTCACTGTCCCTTCACTTTTAATCATTTGTTCTGTGATTTTTCTCTCACTCCGCAGCAGAAATACGAGAAGAAATTATCCTGAGCGAACCAGCTCCTCCAACTCCCTCCCCAGTGCCTTTCTCCCCAGCTAAATCTGCCACCTCAGTGGAAGTGCCCTCTGCCCCCTCACCTGTCAGCAACCAGTCCCCAGAGTACGGTGGCATAGCAGCTACAACAGGTAGGCAGGTTTCTGGCAGCTGGATCTGCTTGAAGATGGCTTTTGCATTCCATCACCTGACATGGAACTTGAGCACAATATGTGCCTGTTTTTGATAGATGCTAAGCCTTCTCAAGCAGAAATCTGTTTAAACTATTGGTTATACTTTCTTTTATCCGAATATTGCGTGCAGTTTAACAGGAAATGGATCTGACGCTTGGAGTCCAGAGCCCTAACAGGAGTCCTCAGACCAGAATATATTCTGTTGCTGAGGCCTTCAAGAGAACAGGCCTGTTGCTGTATTTCCAAATGCTTTTTAAATCAGTTAAATTGGTCATATTTCTGGCAATGCCATGAAATCTTTTGTGAATACTTTTAAGCATGTTCAATGACATTGATGGGAATCAATCTCTATGAAAAGTGTTATATACCTCAAGGAAATATGCAAGTTGTTTTAAGGCTTGCTGAGGCTTTCAACATCTTAATTAATAATTAATATCCACTGCATACCCAGTGGGAAAAATGAGAATTGGATATCTTTTGACATATTTGAGACCCAAACATGCTTAAATATCTGCACACGTTTCTCTTGGACATGTTTTTACATATTACTGGTAACTTTCAACATTAGAAATTAGGAATTGAAGGTCTGAAGCATGCTCCATACTGTTTTCAGTTACATTCTCTGTTTTCAGAGCTCATGAGCTTGTTGTATTGTGGTGGGCCCACAGGTTGAAAAATCAGTTCTTAATATTCAGTTTTTGGGTGAACTACCAGAAAACAGTAAAAAAAGTGATGCACCCATCTGGCTTGTTGATTGGCCTGTATTAATGGGCAACCATCCTGTGTACCCAGTTGTTACCTGTTGGACATGGAGAAGATGGTCCATCTGTTGTATGATCTAAAAGCTGTGTTTTCTTAATTCATGAAAATCAGAAATTTGATTTCTGGCAGAAATGTGAGTGACTTTCAGAAGACATTCTAGGCAGTAAAATACCAGCTTTGCTGCCCCTTGGTGCAATGGGTATATATCAGAATGTGGAAGCTATCACTTGTGATGTACTAGAAAACTTACAAAACCTTCATGAAAGAATGTCAGAAAGTTATGATTTACCACACTGGAGAATTTGGCAGTGGCCAAATGAGTAATAAATCCTTGTGACAAATGTTTTCTTTGTTTTCAAAGGCACCATAGGGAGGCACAGTGCATAGTTGTGGTTAAAGGCAATTTAAGAATTACTATCCCTACATTGAAACTTAAGGTTTTCTCATTGTTGGAGTCTATACTGCATTTAGGAGGGAAATAGAATGATATCACCCCCAGAACAGTTAGACAATAAAGCAGTATGAAGCTTAAACATGTTAGGTGAGCAGGTAGGTCTGCTTTGGATCAAGCAGTGCTGGAGGTGGTGTATATGTTTGAGTCTTGAAATGTCGATTTTGTGAGTAACTTGGTCTGTACACATAATGGTCCTATAAGAACATTGTGATATTGTATCCAGAAATTACAGGGATGCAGAATTCTACCTTAGAAGCAAAAGACTGAAAAGTTGGGAACCATGTGCTCTCCAGTGGCACTGATAGGAGTGGAAAGTTGAGGGACGTTTTTGCTTAAGCTACAGAGACCGTAACTCTATATGGATATCTTAACTATTAACCCAAGGTTTATTCTATATTTAAACAATAGCCTATACGTCATCTGTATGAGCTTCCACCTTATGTATGGAATAAAGTGGCCTTATGTAGCCTCAGATCCAGGCAGGAATAGGAATTGCATGAACCTTATGTATCGCTTCTGAATCCATCAGCAATAATAGAGTAGAATCAGAGAATGGACTCAAACAGACATTACCAATGTAATTCCTTTCTGTTTTCATGTTGTATCTTGTTTTTTTTATATTCTATTTTATTTTCTCTCTCTTTTGCTTGCCCTGGTAAGGCCAAGGTCTGCTGATGTGAAGTTTGAAGCCAGAAAAAGAATTACTTAGGTACAATGGTTGAAGGATCTACTGCCATAATACAGTCAGTAGAACTTGATGTAATTATTCCCATAGCAGAACTTCTTAGGCAAGAAAGCTATTTCTAATCATTTTAGCTCTGTTTTTTCTAGCTTCTTATTTTTCAGGTTGTTCAGAAAGCTTCAGTTGAATTGGATTTTATTCTTACAGTCTTGTACAGTCTAATTTTTGCCAGTGTGAAAGTCATTTTGGCCTAGAACAAGCCAAATTTGTCAATTCAAGCAGCCATCCGTTTATCCATTTAAGATTAAATAAATACAAGGATATGGATATTTCCCAGATCTAATTTGGACAATTAGCAATACCTTCATTTCCCATATGGATTATATAGATGAACTGATCACCTTTTCAGTTTGCTAACCATTGCACAGTGGAATGCAAGATCCATTCACATAAGGTAATGCAGCCATGTTTCAATCACTGAAAATTGCTATAATTTAAAATGGCAGTGCTGAAGATGTAATTTTAATATATATATATATATAATCAAAATGTTACATACACAGATTTTTTGGAACTAGTATATAGAATATTTTGGGACAGGAAGTTCTGGTCTGGAGAAACAAATTTAAAGGACATTCTATTGATTTTCTTAAACGTCTTTCATGGGGTAAATATAAAACTCTGAAAATGCTTTGTACATGTTGAGAACTGGTCCCATTGGCTACTACTAGCTTTACTTCCCTAATTTAAAGTATCATTAACTTTTTTTTTTCTTATGACATTAGCAATAAAAGTTAACTATTAAACTTGTGTTTTAACCTTTTTGCCTTCACTCAATGGTCAGCATAAGAGACAGTAAACTAAACTTTGCCATTACATGGTACTAAGCAAAAGAAAGGTAAATTCTGTATATAGCATTCTATGTTACAACATCTGGCATGGCTTAGCTAGCATTTTATTTAAAACTTTGGGTTAAGTTACCAGACATTTAAAATGATAATTAGTCTCTATCCTTTCTAAATCACAAAGGGCAGATTAATGATTATTCAAACTGCAGCAATATTGTCATAAAAATGATAGCTATATGGCTGACTGTGCTATTCTCTCTCAAAGCTCCTTTGAAAGCTGTGATTACTCATTTGCTAATGCAATGTTATTTGGACAGCCTGAAATGAATTCTGAATTGTAGCTACTTTCTAACACATTAGTAAAGTGATGTATGCAGATTACTGTTTAGTTTCATGAAATACGTGTCTGAAATCAGTCTTCATGTTATCAATTGTCATTTTAGGTAACTGTTTTCCAGGTCTGGGCTAGATACTTATGTTTGGGGATCTGCCCAAATTTCAGGAGATAACTTGCACAGAGCTATCAGCTCTCATATTTGTGTTTGAATACAATGACACTGTTTCTGCAAATTTCCAGCTCCTGAACTCAAGCAAATATATGAGAACATCTAGAGTAAAAGTTTAATTCTAACAATTGCAGAGTGTAAAACTCAGGCAGTTCTCTCCTTCCCAATGGTTTTGTTGTTGTTTTCTACATGAAGAATTCTTTGTTTTGTGGAGGCAGAATGGAGATCTAACTCATGACTGTTGATTACTTGGGGTTGACATCAGTGCTTGCTATCAGATGTAATACACAGTGCAGTGAGTACCTTGCTTGTACCTGGGTGATCATTTACTTCAGCATACAGCAAATAATAAAATGCAGCATAATGAAGCAGCTTTTGGTTCTATTGGCAGTGGGACACATGAAGGCATCACTGACAACAGGCCATAGTCAATGTTAGCAGTCCTGCTTATACCCGATTCTCGTAGATATCACATGGCCTATTAATTAGTATCCTCAAAATCAAATTTATCTTTAAAAGAAAAAAGAAAAAGAAGTGATAATAAATGAACTTCCATATTTTAATCAAACTCTGAATGTTCAGAACAAAAAGCAGAACAAAACGTTGCTCAACCACTATTGTTTTTCCTTATTTCAGAATGTGGTTCAGTTGGGTTCAGTCGTATCTAAGAGACTTCACCTCCTGGAGTTCAATTCTGTGGCCAGCTGAGGAAATCAACTGTATAGGCCTGGGACATAGATGGGTGTTAGAAAGCTAACTAGGAAGATCTGTGACTACTCCCATTCCTTCTTATCTACCCGCCATAATGTTGGCAGTGTTCTGATTGACCTCATATATATCGATACACACAGTCTCAAACCTATTGCCATCTTCTGTCCTCTTCCTCTTTGTGACTAGGTAACTCTGAAAACAGTGTGGAAACAGTGAAGGAAAACTCCATTTTCCTTCTGAAGACTAAGAGAATCAAGGCAACAGTAAATTTCCAACACTGTCCTGAGAAGATTATTTGAACATCTTTCTGTTACTACGTAAATCCAGGGTAAAACTCAGCATATATTCACTTCTAATTCACAACCTCCAGAAGAAGCTGAGTATTTGTGCTCAAGAGGCATCTGGACGAGATGGCTTAGTAGCTTAGTGGGTGGTAATGGTGATAGGAGAACGGTTGGAATAGATGATCTTGTAGGTCTTTTCCAACCTTGTGATTCTATGATTCTGTTTCCTACAACAGCTGTGCCAAATACTATCTGATAGTACCTGGGACAAACTGTGGTTAGGGTAATTTTAAAAAGATATTCACAACTCTTCCAGTGCAAGACCTATTCCTTGTTTCTGTGTTGTCTGGACAGGCACAATCTATGTTACACTCTAAACATTGAGTTTAGAATTGAACAGAGACAGCTTCCAATTAGACTTGAATGCCAAGAGCAGCCACATCCTTTCATCCAAGGAGCAGACTTCCCACAGGGAGTACAAGAAACAACTTGTCCTGAATTGACTCATTTTCCTCAGACTGAGATAAGATCACTAGAATTTTTCACAATGGCTGTGGCCACACAAATTAACTATACGTGGTAAAATGTGGAGGATCTTTTGGCCGTGTTACAGCTTCATCCTAGGACTAAGAAGGTCATGAGTTCTTTGACTCAAAGGGCGATCTGAAGTAATACTTTTGTTTTGTGATAAATTTAAAAAGTGTGGACAGAACGGTATTTTTACCTAGAAGTAAGTATTTGGTTTTCTTTTGATTCTCTTTTTTTTCCTCTTCTTTTCTCGCTTTTCTCTTTTTTTTTTCTTTCTTTCTTTCCTTTTCCTGTGTGTGTGTTTTTTAATTTTGAGCTTAGTCCTGTTTTAAAACTGTTTCAAATTTTATTTTGGACAATAACAGTAGGAAAATATATTGACCTTTTGAAACATTTCACTAAAATTATCCATTGACAAGTTGTTGAAATTTTCAAATTAGTTTTTCTTTTGTTTTCAAATGAAACTATTTTGTGACTGTAGAAATAGCTTTGACTGCTTCCTCTTAAGCTATATTTTCTAGTAAAGGCAGACTTCCTTAAACACTTTTCCTCAGCTCAAGGAACCATGACTGCTGATGGCCAGAATAGCACTGATGTGCTAGCTCTGTTGAGTATGCCTCCTCTTTAGTTTCAGAGAATATCAATCATTCTTAACGAGGGGAGGTGAAAGTCTGAAAAGTCAAAAATCAGTGACAGACAATGCAGATGTGAAAATGAACCTAGCAAATATATCCTTGGCCACAACACATACAAGAATGTCTCTAATATAAAAGCCCCAGTTCACATCTTACCTTATGAAGCTCAGAATGCCTTTGGTCAGACTCAGAATTAAGTATTTTCCATTGCAAAGAATTATTTCTCTGATTTTGCTAAATAAAATCACATACACCTGAAGAAAATTGTGCACACCTGAAATAGTTTTTTCATTCCCTAAAATCGTGAACATGGACCGGGGTGATACGTGTCCCTCTTGGAATTAGGCCCTTTCATATTACAGGAAGTTCCACAATCCACAGTGAATAAACAAGTCACCTCCTGCAATTCCTTTTAGGTAGTGAAAAAGAGTCAGGAGTGCCTGGACAACCAGAACTAGTGTTTGGATTGGGTTAAATTCAGTGTTCTGGTCCTCATTTGCAGAGTAATCTCAACCACTCTGGTCATGACCTCCAGCAAGAGCTGTGTTATACTGGAACAATGGATCTGTCAGCCTCCTGAGTGAAAAGGGTGTGTGCAAAGGACAAAGGTTTTTCAGCAGCTGGCTCGTGAGTCTGGAGCTCTTGCCTGGAAGGGATCAGAATGATTAAAAAACTCAGCACCTTCCAAGCAAAATGGAAAATCCACTTCTTCACTTTGGTCCTCCCAAATGTTTTAAAAAAAAATATAAATAAATAAAGTCAGTCCCTGTCAGAAGAAACATTACTTACAGGAAGAAGATGGCTACACTATATCTGCCCATATAATTTTTATAATTTGGGGATCTACCACTGTGCTACAGAGGCAGGTACCTAGTCAGATGGATTAGGAGAAAAACTGCAAAAGTGTTCAAGAAGTTTTCTTGAGTAACATTCATCTTCTTCCAATCCTTCATTGTTTTAATTGTACATTCTGTTTATCTCCAGGCCTGATCAGATGTAAGCTAAACAGGCCAGCAGATTATTGCATTTGAGAGGGACCTCCAGGAGTTGGTGCATCATGTTTGTGAAATGCTAGCAGCGCTGTTCCTCTATTGCTGAGTCCTACCCAAGTTTTTTCTGAGCTGATAGCCTCAAGCTACAACACCACCCTCAAAGTTCACAGTTTGAAATGTTCCGGATATGCCTCTTACCTCTGGACATTTGTGCACTCCAGCTGATAATTTCTGCTTTTATTTATGCGTCAGACATGACTGTTCTGTTCACTTTGCTGGATGCTATTTCCAATATTGGTGCTTAATGGTTTACTTTCTAGCAGCTGTTTCAAAGCATAACACCTCTATGAACTGGCCTATCTTATCTGCCTTTCTTTAATGTTTGTCTATAGGGGCTATGCAATCCTATACGTGGTCACTCACCTACACTGTGACAACAGCTGCTGGGTCTCCGGCTGAAAATTCCCAACAGCTGCCCTGCATGAGAAGTCCACATGTACCATCATCATCTGTCACACATCGGATACCTGTTTATCCCCACAGAGAAGAACATGGGTGAGTGCCTTGTTGGTTTTGTGTGGTTTTCGGGTTGAAGCCAAGCTTATGTTTTTTTTGAAAATGCAGTGAAATCCGTTCCTTGATGTAGTAAGTCTGCACTGCAAAGATTCTGGTATCATTATTCTTTGGCTGTTGTTTTTACTGTATGGTTATTAAGGATTGGATTTATCATCTTACTAAGTCCTGATTAAACTTCAAAATTCAATAGGCCTAGTGAATACTTGATAAAAGGGAAGGCTTTGGTAGCTTTTGGTAGCTTTCTTCCTATCTCTGATTCCTTCTTTTACACGTCATGTTTTACCTCAAAGGCTCTGTGTCCAAAGAACTAACCTCCCATACCATGTCTCAGAGATGACTCTGCTCTTCTGCTCAGCACATCTGAGGCTACATCTGGAGCACTAGATCCAGTTCTCAGCTCCCCTCTATTCTCATTCAGAAAACAGATACAGATTCTTCTCAGTGGTATCCAGTGGCAGCACAAGAGGCAATGGGCACAAACTAAAATAGAAAAAAATCTGTTAAACTTAAAAAAAAATACAACAAACAACTTGTTTCACTGCAAGTGTGATCAAACAGTGGAGCAAGTCATATGAAGAGGCTAAGGAGTCTCCATCCTTGCTGATATTCAGAACTCACATGGGCACAGTCCTTGGCTGTGCAGACTTGTGCAGGGAGCATACTCTACAATCTCCAGGGGTCCCTTCTGACCTCAGTGATTAGATGATTCTATGACAGTTGTTAGGCCTGCAAATAAAAAAATTCTGAAGTATGGAAAAATAGCCACATTTTCGACATAACATCCTAATCTCATCTCCATCACCAAAATTTGCTCGAAGCACTCAATTAAAGTAGTTACAGCAGAAATTTCTTTAATGTTATTTCATCTTGGAAAACTTCAGAAAATCAGATAAAGCCTCTGCTCTTTTCACAACACTTCTGTGCCATTGTCACTTGAGCGAAAGTGTAACTCACAGATATCCATAACTAAAGATAAACAATCAAGTTAATCAGTGGAAATGGGCCTCAGGAATACAACAAGTTTAGCAAGAACCCAGATGCTGACATAAAACAAGAAGTTCAAAAAATGTCACTGATTTTCTCAGTCTAATTGCATACTCCTATATTTGCAGAAGTGCACAAGTGTGGAAGATTGCATAGTGTTTGTAAGGATAGTAGTAGATTAATTTGGATCCTGTCTCCTTCCCTCATGAATGTGAGAAGGTTTGGATTTATGTCTGAATATCACTGCTATGTCCCTCCTGGAAAAACCCTGGATGATTGCTTGGTGGAATTGGAAACAGAGTAGCTGGGAGGATTAGGAGCTAACAGGATACAAGAATTGGAAGAGACATGGAACAGGAGTGAATATAGCTGTAAATCCATGTATACACATGAGAATTCATTGTTACTAAAGGAATCTCTTGCCTCTGGAAGGTGATTTGGGGAAACAGTTTTATCTGAGTGAATTAGCTTTTCTGAAAGTTAAAAAGACATTCAGTTATGTGACTTCTTTCACTATTTGATTTTATATGGGACAGGTGTGTAGAAAAAATTTGGTAATTCTAGTGGTATCAGAACGTTTCAGTGCTATCTACCTGCTCATCTGAAACTGAACTTGTAAGCATAGCAATAAGAGCTCTTTGTCAATCAGTGCTCGTGTGGCATCTATCACAAAGATTTCCTGATCTTATTCCCTCTCCATATAGTAGTACTATGAAGTTTTTCTGAATCATTACATGTACTTATTTTGAATCTGCTGCAAAATCAGCATATTGATACATCAGTTTTTATGCTTCAGGTCTAAAGCAACATGCTAGTAGAAACATGTTTCTGTATAAATGTCTGCACAGAAATCCATTAATGACCTCACCCACGGTGTTTTGAAGCCCAAGATTCATTACAGTTCTCTTAGAAATACTGATTGAAAGAGAGCTTGTTTAAAGAACCGTATCTTCAGAGGGGAGAGAAAAATAAGAATACAGGAGACCTTATATGCAAGATTCAAACAGTTGGCTGCCCTGGAAAGAAGCAGAGAGAGATCAAAGTCTGCACTGAGATTTCAAGGTTTCTGGAGAAGAGACAGAGTGAACAGCTGTTTGCTCAGAGGCTGAGCCTCACACTCAGCAAGGGAGGCAGGCAGAGAGCATAAGCTGTATGCTGACCATTTCCCTGTTGCAAGTGAATTTCACAGAAAATGCAGATTCTTAACCACCTAGCATACCTGAGAGTATTCTAATAGCCATTTTGCTGGGTTTACTTCCAATTTTTCACTCTAAAGATCATCTCCTTTGTGAAATATAAAGCCTCCAGAGCATCTTGAGATAGAAAGAGAATACCTAAAAGATCAGAGCAATTCATACAGAGGTATGTTCCTCTCCATACAGAGAGGTTCCTCAAAGTGAAGATGTTTTAAGAACTGAGGACTTGGAACAATGTAAAGCTCCTAGCTCCCAAGAAAGATAAATATAGATTGATTTATACAAATATTTTTTTTCTATATTTTTGTCTGGTTATAGAGGATATAATAGAAATTCAATGACCAAAACATCTCCCTGTAAAATAAATGCAAATAATTAAGGCCAACTGGATATTAACAGCCAAGAAGAAAGGGCTGAATGATCTCTTCTCCTTTATTAAAAAACAAACAAACAAACAAACAAAAAACCCTTAATAAAACAATGCTAGTGTAGATTTGTGGAACTGAGAGAAAGCACAATCTTCATAACCATCTTAACTCACTCCAGTAAATCTTCAGTGGTACTCTCCACATGTATATGATATCTGGACAGTAAACAGATCTATAGTATTAATAGGAGAAAAAAATCTTCATACCTCGTTGGAATATTCCTTGTTCTGTTTTATGTCCACTGCTTCTCACTCCATGACTGTACACCTTCTAGATGAATCTGGCTCAATCTGCACTATACCCTCCTGATAGATAGTTGAAGATCATTCCTTCGCCTTTCTTTTTAAGACTGGGTAAACCAGTCTTCTCTTCTTGTAAATTGATGGCCTCCACTAGTCTCACTTTAATATGTCAATATCCTTTTCATAGTTGAGAAACTAAAACAGGACTCAGTACTCCAGATGAGGTCCCTTAAGTGCTAAATACAAGGGAATAATCATTTTTAGGTCTGCTGTCTATGCTCCTGCTAATACAGTAAGGTTGTTAGTTGTCCTCTTAATTGCCAAGGCACGGTGGTGATTCATGTTCAGAATTTGCAGGCAATTTTCAGTAAAGCCAATTTCTTTCCAAATGGTCCTAACCTACACCACTGCAGGAGTAATGCAGGATATTCCAGGATTCCCTGTGTTGTACAAATGATCAACTGAATATTTTTTAGTGGATCATATTCATATCTGCTAAACTCTAGAGTTGCTGCCACTTTCTACCTGGACTTCCCCTAAGACACCCCACCTGTGTAATGTCTCCACTACTCAGTGACCATTGATGAAGTTCAGAAGTGACTGTAAGAGGTGGTACTTGGCAGAATTTTTTTTATTATTCATTTTCCAGGCTTTCTTCTGAGAGAGATGTAGGGTTTTTTTAGCCAAGCACTCTCAGATAGGCAGGAAAATACCACTCTTAAAGGATTACATTAATCTCCTCACATCCTTCAGCACTCTCTCCCGAAGTTGAATAGAGAAAGAAAAAGATTCCTAAACCAAAAACAGAAGATAGCAATTAAGCAAAGAAACGTTGGCGCTCCAAATTCAAGTGAATTAAAGTGTGTATTTTAGCAAAAACAAACAAACAAACAAACAAACAAAAACCCCCCAAAACAGTGAGTTTTGAATGAAGAAGATAAGGTCAGTATCTTCCAGACTTGGCTTTACATGGCAATCCAAGGGCTCTCTAGACTATAGGAGAGACCAGCTGGATGAATCTCCTCTTGAACCAGAGAAAAACTGCACTGTGAAATGTCAGGCTTATGAGACTGCCAAAAATATCTGTTGTGGATTTTGCTTCCCAGTCAATTGTGTTGAAGGAATTAACACACAAGATGTCTGCCTACTGTTATGTGGAACAGCTCCATGACACAGACATTTCTCTCTGCCCCAGCTCTCCACAGAGAGCCTATCAAAATCCTACCTTATGAACATCAGCTTGTCTGAGGTAGATGATGGAAACCACTCTTGTTTACAGCTAAACACAAGCGAATATAAGAGTGAGAGCTAAATATTCAACAGTAAATATAGACATGGGAGCTTATGTCTAGAAAATATTGTTAGAGAGGGTACTCAGCTCTCATTGTGAAGCCTTTTGGTTTGCCTGGTCTAAAACTTGACATGGTACCTGTAGAACACCACTATAAAATCAAAAGAACAACAAAAGTGTTTAAACTTTACCCAGTGTAACAATGACATTGAACTTTACAGAAAAAAAAAAAAAAAAAAAAAAAGCTGAAATCCATACAAATAACTTTCTTTTATCTCCCACAACGACTTGGCTGCCCTTTTGTTTTGTTTTGTTTTGTTTTTGTTTTGTTTATTGCCATTTCATTTTGATCTAGCATATATTTTAAGGGCTGAATTCGTACCAGATATTCACATGGCTACACAAAGATGTAGAGGATGCAGAAAATGTAAATTCGTCTTCTGCTAATGAATGATGCACGTAATGGTGATCTACAAGCACTGACCCTGCAGCTTCTTATAGCTGAGTAAATTGCTCTCTCCTTTACCCTGGGCTGTTCCAAGACAAGCATTTGAAATGATAAAAGAAAGTGGGCAGGTTCTCCAACCTCAAATGCCATCCCGTCCTCTAGTGAGCTGCACTGAAGCTGTTTGTTGTATGCTTCAGATGCAAATGAACACATCTCTCTCCCTCCCCAAGATAAGGAACTTGTGGCTGCAGTGCAAAGAGATGGCTGAACTCCACAGTGCAGTTCCTTAAGTCAAATGTTACCACACGTGCTCAGCCTAGCAATTTACTAGAAACATGGCAGTGGGATAGTAATAAAAGGAAGAAAGTGCACAGATGAACCTGCAGCGTAAAACTTGTCACAGAAACATCCTGAGTCTCTCAATTTGTTGTTGTATTGAACACCCTGCTAAGTGGCAGCTGCTTCCCAGCTGATCTCAGAAATACACACACATATATAAAGGTTATTTTAGAAATCATTCTGCTATGCAAAAAAGTGCTACTGTATATCACATGGAAGTTACAGAATTATTAGTGGGAATATAAAGATTATGCCTACTAAATAGTGTTTTTAATTGAATTTTAGATACACAGGAAGTTACAACTACGGTAGCTATAGCAATCAGCACCCCCATCCAATGCAGAGTCAATATCCATCTTTACCACATGATACTGCTATCTCTGGACCACTTCATTACTCCGCTTACCACAGAAGCTCTTCACAGGTAAGTTGGAATAATTTCTTTAAAATTCTTGCTACAACATTTTAAGTAAAGTCGTGCTTGTAAATGTCTTATCAGCATACAAGATCTTTGAATTATTTCTAGTCATTGATAATCACTTTTTTTTTTTTTTTTTTTCTTGGCATCTTTTCATTCTGGTGGAGATTTTTTTATCAGAAATAACTTTGACTTATGAACTTAGAGTACTAAACTCCAAAATCAAGCAGTCTGTATCATATGAAGTGCTTATGTGTTAAGGAGTATCCGAAACCAATTGTTAATATAATTAACTGTGTGTTTCTTAGGCATTCTGAACAGGAAGTGATACCTAACAATAAAAGTGTTTTAATACAATTGAAAGGAGATGCAGAGACCATAGTGAATTCTTCTGGTGTCTCTGCTCTTGAGAATAAATACGATTAGGAGTTTGCAAAAAAACTGTGAGTTTTGTATATGGTTTGAATAACTTTGGGGGACCATTCCAAAGAGGTTCTATCTAATGTGTGTGCTTTGGTCTCCTACCATCAGCTAAGGAATTAAGTCAGTACTTATTTCAGTTCACAAAACAGCCAGTGGGAAACAGCATATATTAAGCATGAAGATGATATCTGGCAACAGTTCAAAAGTAGTGCCACTACAGGAAGGCTTTAGTATACTATGCAAGTGGTGTATAGGTCTGTCCTCTGTTGGAAGATCTACAGGGTGCAACTAGAAGCAGGAGGTGATGTCTTTGGGGTATTCCACACACACAGTGCCTTTTATGCTTCATCTGCTAGAAATTTGTGTAAGTCTAGTATGGACAACCATGTTTAACTACAGTCACAGACCAGTTGTGAAGATATGAATTTGGCGGAGCTTCGGACTAGAAAACATTAAACATGCATCTCATTCTGGTCTTTGACATTGGTCTACCAGATGATCTCAAGAAGTAATTCCTTCTTTATGCTTTATTTTTCCAGTCTTTAAGATAAGAATAATGATATTAATCTCCTTCTAAAGCTTTTTGAGATCAGCTAGGAAGATTGTCTTAGGAAAACGCAGTATGCTCATTTGGACCAGCTCAACAATGGCTCTCTAGTTGATGGAAGCAATAGTTCTACAACTTCTCACCCATTTGTGTAGCAGCTGGTCCACCAAAGAGAATACATCAGGTGTGAGGATTTAAGTAGTTGTTGTATCTTTAATGGAAACAGTGAATAAATGTTTAAGTACAATGTACTATGATAGGTTTGTATATATTGTTTTTTCATTACAGCCCATATCCTGTTATCTCAAGGTTTTTTCCAAGGTACATAACTTTTTGACTTAAATTCATCCATGAACTTTCTTTACTCTCTTATCCTTTACTGGAGAAAACCTACATAAGTGGTAGTTCTGAAATGACCTCTCAGGCAATGAATCTGTAGGTAAAACAGTGAATTAGACTTTTATTGTTTAAAAATGTTATTACCCTTACAAGGAGTTTCTTTCATATCTTCTGTCTGCCACACTGACACAGACAGCACAAGTTAAGCAATAAATAAATTAAGCAAAGCAAGATGAATACATGTGTGGTTTTCTCGTGTCCTGGTTAATATGCCATATAGAAATAGTAACATACATTAAAATCATATATTTTTTTTTTTTCATTCTGTAATAAGCTGGCTCTACAAGTGCAGATGTCTGATAATTTTTTCCTCTCTGACTAGCCCTTGAATTGTCCTGGATGCACATGAAGAACAGTTATCCTTTAATGATTACATCTGAGAACAGCATTATTTCTACCTGTATTTAACATGCTCTTTCTCGTGCTGCTTGTAAACTGAGATGCACTCTCATAGCAGGATAAGGTTAACAAAACCTCATAAATGTGCTCATTCTTTGTTGAAAGATATAAGCTGAAAAAAACTTTCAAAGAATCGTAAACGATCTTACTTTTTTTAACTAAATGAGCTTCTGTAAAATGCTTTCCCTGGTAATAAATGCTTTCTTAGTTACTTTTAGCCAGAAGTATATAAATGAAAAGTGCTGTTGCCCACAAAGCCTAAAAGGGTGTTATGGAACTACATTTCTTCTAGCGGACTTTCTAAGTAGAACCTGGGCTTGCAGTAGGATTCACGAATCCTACTGCAAAATCAAAATACAGGAATCCAAATTTGCAGTGAATATGTATACAGCTGCTACTGTACTGAAACCCAAAGAGATGAAATGTGTATTGCTGTGGTAATATAATCAGCCTAGAAGTGGAGGCATTGACCATCTCTCTTCAAAAGAATTCTTTGTTAAAATTTACATTCAGTTCAAATATAGAACTCTGTCTCAGCTTTAGCTCTTTAGGATAGTGTCAACAGATTAATTCCCAAGAAAAAATCTGTGTGGGGGGTAAGTTCTCCTCTGCAAACATGGAATCAGAGAGAGCCCTTGTCCTAGACAAGGCTCTGAGTTGAAACAGACAAGATGTAATAGAGGTGGCTTATAGGCTGCAGCTATAAATTACTTCTTTGGCTTGGAAGATCACCATGTCTATCCAACCTCTTTCTGTGGAACAGTGCAATGTAATCCAGGTTTTATCAGGTCACTTATTTTAGGGCTGTTTTCCAGCCCAAAGCAATATTCATAAAGAAAGAGTTGTATTTGACTTTTTTGTTTGTTCCTTTCATATAACTTTAAGATGGATCATTTCACATATAAGATTTACAGACAGCCACCAAAACAAATGACATTAGAGCAAACGAGATGGAGGGAATAGCTTTCTTTTGAGGGAAGTGGGGAGTGCTGAACATAAGGGAGGGGAGAAGGAAGCGAGTAACCCTTTAAACTAGAATTGTCAACATGTAGCATATTGATCTTAGCTTCACACACAGAGTTATATGATGATTGCATTGTGTAAATTTCAGGATACCTGCTATGGTTTTGTCAGTGGAATCCTTACAGTGGGGCTGTGCTGGGAAAGAAGTCAGACAGCTGTAGATCTTGTACCACGTACAGCTCTTGGAGAGTAAAGGTGGCAGCCCTAAGTCCTACCTGAAAAGCATTTGGTCCATATTAGTGAGAGACTCCTGGATAATTTGAATCCACTAGTGTTGAAGGAGATGAAACAGTGATATTTGATAAAGCTGAGGCACAGTGCATCACTCCCTCCCACAACTGACTGGTGAACGCTCATGAGGATATTGTTATCTCTCACCTGTGAAACAGTCCTGGCACTTACCTTGGCTCACAGAGCAATGTGATGTGTCCTTAAGATAAGTGCAGGTTTATTAAGTAGCTCTCAGACAGATAAATGACTCGCAGGTGGACAAGCAAGCGGAACAGTGGAGATGACCTGTATAAAAACAGTAGAGGGAAGTAAATGTTCTGATGTAGTAATTTCTGCAGCTACTAACCCAGCAGGAACCTAAAAATGGCTCCTTCTGGCAATGCAGGCTGACTAATTCCCACTGCTGGCTAAGAGTCTTTTTGTTGACAGGGACAGTCTGTTCAAACCTTGGTCTTAATCCGAATTTTTTTTTTCTTTCATCAGCATCTGTGATTAGTTCTCAGAACAGTTGTTTCCTTGTAACTCCAGGCCTGATTGCTCATTTCTTGACTTGGCTTACTGGCCGAGAGCCAGGTACACAAATAAAAAAAATGATCTACGAATTGGTTTGGTGCTACCTAGTTCTCCATGCAACAGCGCTGAAGTGAATTCAATCACACGATATAAACTCCATCATTATTTAGGAGGCCGTGTAATGTGTGTACATAAACAGAACTATGCTGACTTTATATTTTGTTACGTTCGCTTGCCTCGAATTTTAGGTGAACCAGATACCACGGTAGAAAAATAGATGAGTTTGTCTAAAAGCCTCTGAGTGTTCCTGTGAACCTCTGTCAAGTGTAGCAGAGAGGTACCCGCTTCAGAGGTAACCCCTTCACAATGCCACCATCTAATCCGCTTCCACAATCTGCATTTGGATGGCTTTTGATCACAAGCTTTTGTCTGCAGATTTCACCCTGACTGAACAGGATTTGATCCTTTCAAGCTATGCGTAAATATTTCAATTCATATAATTCCACCTCTTCCTTAGTCATAAATTAATTAAGCGCTGCAGTAATTTTTCTTTGTAATTCACAAGGGTAACACTATTAGTAGAAAAAGTAATGAATGAGAAAAATCTGCAGCAGGATGTTTTTATATTTTAATATACCTAGTAACGTGTAAAGATGCCTGTCATATGAATGTGCATCACTGTAAATGCAGTGCAATACACAGCAAAAAATACAGTACTATTTTAGTACTCTAACGCATGGCCATTGTGAATCATATTGTAGGTCCATTTATCCAGGTTCTGTATCCAGTTATGGCCAGAAGCAAATGTACAGAGGAAAATTATTAGCGAAAGGATAGGTAGAGAGTGGTCCTTTTACCAGCATAGCTACACTGTGCTTGGTAAGAGCTGACTTAGGGACGTCCTGAGTAGGAAGCGGCAGCTGGACTGTTGTATTTTCTAGCAACTTATTCTACATTAAATTCTTTGAGCTTTTTTTGTACTTAGAGATTCTTAACAATGGGCTGTATGAAGCTTGTAATCTGCTATTAATTTTAAACCTGTTACCTCAGAATTGCATTGGATTGCCTATATTTTGGGGAATGAAGAGAAACAGGCAATACCCTTTCTCTCTTTATTTACTCTTACCATTAGAGATGTTACAGATCTCCATCATTCCTCCCACTTCCTTTCTCCATCTGTTTTCCAGACTTAGGAGTTATCTGCATAGATTCTCCCATGGTGGATGCTCTGCACATAGGAATTATACAAGGACGGCACATGGAGGGGGAAAAGGGAAAAGTTCTTGTCTATCCAGCACATAACCAGTATAAGCTTATGACTATACCAAAGCAATCAGAATGTTGAACCCTCCCCCACTAAACCATTCTGTCATACCGAGTAATGACAGAAAGAAAAAAAATCTGTCCAAATCCTACCCATGCAACAAGAATTATTGTTCCTAACTCTACAGTTTCATAACAGTCTTGAGATTATTCAAATGTAGTTGAAGTAATTATGTATTGAATACAACAGGGAATGTGTCTAAGTTTTAAATAATAGCAAATGAGGTTTTCATGAGGCTCCAAATGCCTCTCCCAAAAGTACCAAGGTCATTTAGAGTGTCTTGAAAACTTCACCCCACCTATTTGACACACCAAGATTTAATAAGCTTCATTTTGTGGACCAAAGGATTGAATACAGGGTTATAAAGATCAAACTGATCAACAGTTCCAATGCTGATATTTTTTATCAGATCTTCATAAAGTTAATTTATAGCCAGCCCTTCACAATAGCTATCATTCCTGGTATGAGTTATTTGCAAATCTTAAAGTAGTGGCTGACACAGAATACTAACTTACAGCATTCTGCAAAAACGTGAGCGAATGCACTGTAAAGTCAGAGCCACATTCATAAGGAAAATATTTTGCTGTTTGGACAGAGACACCTTTCACCTCTATGCATAATCAGTCAGTGAGCTGAGGATATGAATAAGGAGATTATTCTCTATCCCCACGCTTTAGGAATTCAATCTTCACTTCTTGGTAGGACATATTTAACGTAGTATTTTCTAAAATAATAATAAAAGACATTGAATTAATTTTTCATTCTTGGGCAAGGCCTTAACAATAATCTTCTTAAAGCGCCCCAGACTTAAATGGCTTCTTGTCTAGGTCTGAGGCAGCAGTTGCAGCAAGTGTGAGTTAGCCCAGAAAATGGTAATTTCCTGTCAAGAGCCCTCCAACAAATGTCGCTTTTATATCTGGCAAAGATCACTAGGCCCCAGTGTTTTGAGTTCAGCATGCTTAAGCACTCTTCATTGAACCGGATGTAGAGTGTGAAAGGTGATTCAGGCAGCATGGGCAGGCATCCGCCCAGATGGCGATGCTTTGGACACTCCAACAAGGCTGAATAGATGCTTCATTGGGTGAGTTAATAGTCAGGCAGGGGCCAATGAGTACTTTAAAAATATTGTCTTTCAATAGTCTCTTCACTGTAGGGAAAAAGAAGTCACTGACTCATTTGCGATTAGCTGACCTACCATTACAAAACTTTCCGTCTTGCATTCAGTCATAACAGAATTTATTGTCAAATACTAGATATTTAGAGTCCATGTTATTTTCAAGCAATTATTCCTTTTACAGTCATGACACATTCATAAACACAGCTGCATCGGGTGAGCCTGATGAGGGGGAAAAGCAGAGCACTGTATCCTGTCCCCTTATGCACAGCCATTAGCTCTGCCTTCTAGAAGTCTCAACATGGTCTCTTGACTGCAAATAGGAAGGGAATTATCTTTCCTTTCAGTGCATCCTGAAGTTCATTCTGGGAGCCAAGGTTTCAATCCCAAAACAGCACAGTTTTTGTGTGTCCAAACTACCTAGAAAACATTAGATTGCTTCCCCACATAAAGTCATGTACAACCAGGTGATCCATGTCCCCACCATTCATTTTGGTTTTTTTGTAGATATATTGACGTTTCACGCTCTACAAAATATAAGCCCCAGTAAATACAAGCAATAAATGTAAGCCCCAGCTGAAGCTGGGGCATGTTTAAGGGGGTATGAAAGCAAGTAATTCCTCTATTCTGAAAGCCACAACAACAAGGGAAAATTGCACCAAGTCAGGAGAGCAAAGCGTTCTGTTATGGTTAACGGAGCAAATCAGTTGTTGCATTGGGAAGGGATGAGAGAATCGTTTAAGTACTATGGAATAAGTATAGATTAAACTCTTTCTAAGCATACTACTTAATACGAAAATTCAGTGATTTAGGGTATAGATCAATGGGTAAGAAAAGCAAAGATCAGTGCAATTGTTTTCAAGTAAAACACTACTGAAGTCAAAGTGTTTCTAGCTTGGCCCACATCTTGCACCTCCACAGATGTCACTCAGAAAAGAACAAATGTATTATTTTGTATGGTATATTTTGTTGTGGGTGTTTTTTTATTTTTTTTTCCCCCCAGTACTAGACCCTGGTCTCGGCTCCTATCGTCTACAATCACAAATCACTTTGTACACAGTTGAACATTTCCCAGCATATGAGATCTGCCAGGATCTGTGGAGTCAACAGCTATGAAAAAGGGACTTTCACTTAACACCAGTCAACCCCATACACCAGTATAACCTAAAAACTAATGGGCTGCAGCAGGAAGGAAAGAGCCATCTTCTAAAGATCACTCCTCTGTTGTTCTCAATATTTAGGCTTCACAAATTGAGGTTTGATAAACAGTCCTGGAGGCTGCAGACAGAACACAGATGACTCACTGTTCTTAGATGCCTGACTTTCTGACCAGTAAAGTTAGGTGAGACAAATTGGACTCTGAAGCTATAGCAAATCATGTGACAAGTTGTTCTCCCTGAATTTGTTATGGCAGGAGTTTTGCTCATCAAGATGTTCTGATGAAGGTGGTCAGCAGGCACAAGCATGACAGTGACTTCAACATATTGCCTGTTCATGTCTGCATTCTAAATCCATCAACTATTCTTCCAGGAGATAAAATATGAAAATTATTCAACTTTTTCTGGAACCACTTATGTTTACTCAGAATATTCGCAGGTTGATTGTTTCTTGACAGCGTCCTGTCTTTATCATATTGAGTTAAAAAGAGAACCATGATCCTAAATTCATATCTCCTCATGTAAAACCACAAAGCTTGTGTTTCATTATTGCTGGGTACTGGCAAGTTTTATCTTGTGCAGAAGATTCTAAACCCTCAAGAAGTATGAAAACTGATTCTTCTGGAAGGGAATATAAAGCTTTCTGCAGTCAGTGCCTAAGCTGTGTCGAACTTCTCTACTGAAAAGCCTCTCAGTGGGTTGAAGATGGAAATTTAGATGATCTTGTACAGACATGTTGACAGTGTTGCCAGTACAGCTTATTCTAATATCTGTATTAGCAGTTCTAGTTGTAGTTTTGACATTCCAGTATGGTGCTGCCATTTACTAGCCTTCTTCAGCAGCTGACTGCACAGGTGATGTGCTGTATATGCTAAATAGTGCAGTGTACAACTTTGATTTCTTCCCCCTCATCTGCTAACTGGTCTGTCTCTGCAGGACACAGTGGAATATGCTAAATCGCAAACTGCAGTCTATCGGTCAAAAATAGTCTTCTCTTTCTCCTACTTAATTAGGAATGGCCAGCATGTGGCTTTTGAGCTGTTTAAATACATTTGCCAAGGCAGGGCTGCTTTCTTGGCTGTGGTCTGAAGGGAGTCAGCAGAAACTCCTCATGGAGACATTGCTGTAATTGCCTCGGGGACCCACACATGCAACTGATTAATGCCACCCGCATCCGGCAGTGGAGTAATGTAATGAGGCCTCTTGGGAATCACTGCCAGCTCCCTCTGTTGAACACCTCCAGCAGCTCTTCCCACAGCCACCCAAAATATGGGGAAGTAGTTTTACGGTCCCCAGCTGTACAAAGCTTTAGCATGTATTTTGTAAGTGTTCTAAGAGTCAGATGCAGGAGAGGTGGCAGTCCTACTCTGGTGACAGCGTAATAAGAAAATGTCACAGCTTCAAACAATCCAGTATAATGAAACTTAAAATTACAACACTTTCTGTCTAAAAGGTACAGTCCTGTGTTTGTGGATCCATTCACCCCAGTTCTGTTATGCTCACTGTGTCCATCTGGGGCGACTAGAAACCATCTTGCCTAGTAGGTGTAAAAAGTAGAAGATGTGAAGATACACAGCTGGTCAAAGGGAACAGGGATCCTCACCATCTCCGCAGTGCAGATGGATAATATAAGGGCAAAGCAGGGAAAGCTATTTCTTAAGCAGAGCACAGATAATTCACTCCTTTAAGACAGGCAATAAATAAATACACATTAAGCAAATACTTATAAGCACAGTTTTCTTCCTCTTGCTTGGGCAGCCTGTGACTACAGGGAGAAAATGCTGTTCTCTGTTTTCTTGCTTATCCTTATCCTCAGCACATCTTCTCCTTAGTGGGAGGTATTTGTCAAACTTCTTTGGATTCTACTTTCCAACTGTCACTGTGAACAGCTGGGAAATAGAGAGATTCTTCTTCTGCGTGTCTCTTTTTGTAAGTTCTCCAATTAGCTGCTCTGAGGCCAGACCATACTATTCTTCTCCAGAAACTGGCAGGGTGGCTTGTGAACATTTGAAAGGGAAGGAGGCACCTTTCCAGTAATAAAGATACTTTTGCTCTCCTCCCTCAAAAGCTATTTGAATGACCGGGACTCAGAACAATTAACGCTGTTTTTTTATTTTGTTTTGTTTTATTTTTACTGTATAGCAACTTTCTCAGTTGTGAGGAAAATATTAGACAAATTCAATTTATTTCTCTGCCGCCAGATACACCTGCCAGTAGCTAGCTCTTCAGTATTTAAACCATAGAATCATTGTACGGTTAGGCTTGGAAGGGACCTTTAAGATCACGTAGTTCCAATCTCCCTGCTACAGGCAGGGACACCCCCTCCAGACCAGGTTGCTCAAAGCCCCATCCAGACTGGCCCTGAATATTTCCAGGGAGGGGGAAATGTTGTGACTCCTTTGCAAAACTCCCTCTCGTATTTTGGTTTGACTTTGGGCACTTGTTATATGATATTCTACCTTCAGTATCATAAAGGTTTTGGAGGGCTGCTCAATCATGCAATTTTATTTATGCTAAACAAAGATATGTGATACACAGATGCAGACACAGAATCGTAGGGGTTGGAAGGGACCTCCAGAGATCACTGAGTCCAACCCCCCTGCAAAAGCAGGTTCCCAGGTCACACAAGTAGGTGTCCAGGCAGGTCTTGAACATCTCCATAGAAGGAGACTCAATGACCTCCCTGGGCAGCCTGTTCCAGTGCTCCGTCACCTCACTGTAAAGAAGTTCTTGCGCACATTTGTGCGGAACTTCCTATGCTGCAGTTTCCAGCCGTTTCCCCTTGTCCTGTCTCCAACCAGCCCTTACTTTAAAATTAAGTACGTGATAAATAACTCTTCATTTTTCTCCTTTGTCGTAGTACCCTTTCAACAGCCCAACGTCAAGAATGGAGCCCTGTTTGATGAGCAGTACTCCAAGGCTGCATCCCACCCCAGTGACTCCTCGCTGGCCAGAGGTGCCGGCTGCGAACTCCTGCTACACGAGCCCACCCATGCACTCCACAAGATATGGCAATTCTAGTGACATGTACACCCCTCTGACTACACGCAGAAATTCTGAATATGAGCACATGCAACACTTTCCCGGCTTCGCCTACATCAATGGGGAAGCCACCACAGGTTGGGCTAAATGAAAATGACTGGCACCAGTGAAGCCCGTATACTTAAAAGAGTTGTACAAACTTGATGTTATGTGGGACTTTACGTGGACGTTCCTGAAGGGAGGTGAAGATGGAAAAGATCCTGGGAAGATAAATGTAGTTCATAACGTGGGCAGATTGCAGACCAGTATGACTGAATGTTCCTGTAGCCGAAAAGCATTTCTGTGCTATTTTAGACATCTTTTTAGGCCAATCTGTGCCTTTTCTAATTCTGGCATGTGGGCCAACCCAGTGTGATGTCAGTGTCAGTGAGCCATTGCCCCCCCTCTTATTGACCAATATTAATGAGTCTTACAAAGTACTGGAATGGAATATATTTATGATTTGTGTTAAAGACAGGAAATTCACTCTCAGCAGAACTCTGACATCTGTTCTTCTTTTAAGCTTTCAGTGCATTTCTTAAAAACAATTCTGCCAAGTCATTTGCTTGCATCACTTCTACCTGGCTCCTTAAAAGACATGTGTTGTGTAGATTTCAGTTTACAACCTAACTTTGTATGTTGATGCACCTTTCTGTTGATCCAGTAACTCTACAAAAGAGAAGAAAACACGTGTAGCATTGAATTATACACTGCCTTAATTTGACTATTATTGTATATGTATTTGTGTTAAGTTTGCACAATCTGGAAAAAAAAATCTAACTTCTCTGGTCAGTAATGACAACGTTAAGAATGGACTTGGGGACTGGGAAGATATTGGATTCAGAGCCACATATGTTAAATGTGATGATATGAAGCAATTATGTAAAAAAGACAATGCAAACACAAATATTCATTTGATTACCTATTGACAGATATGAAAATATTCCCTCAATTCCTTCATGTGGTGATAACTTCTACAAAAGCAAAATTCAAAGCTGTGCCTTTGAACTTATTCTGTACTGTGTATGTGTGGAAAAATGTATTGTATTTTGGGGAGAACTTTTCTTAGACATTTTCTGTCAGATTTGTAGCTATTTGTGAGTTTTTGTTAGATTTTATTAACATAGCTTTTTCTTCTGTATTATAAAATGCACCAAGCAACTGTGGTGGACTTATTACCCTATGGGTAAGAAATAAATAAATGGAGATACGACATCAGACATTTTAGCAATTGTTTTGTAAATAAAATCTTTGATAGCACTCAGTCTGATAATAACCACATTTATGCCTAAAATGGACATAAGTGTTTGTACAGTTGTGCAAGATATATGAGGGATTTTCATGCTCAAATAAAGTTCTTGAAATTGAATAGATACCATTTTAATTTACTTACATACAGAAGCTGCAAACCTTCAAAAAATCCTACAAGTGACAATGTATTTTTTTACCCAGCAAATGACTTGTGAACATGTATAACCAACTGCACGTGAGCAGTCCTCCACCTGTGCTTCCAGCTACAGGCCGCTCCATTCCGTTTGCCAGGTGATGGCTTTATATTGTTTGGTTCATACCCTGCTACTGTTGCTCACCTAAGTCTGGATATCCACCCAGGCAGGTAAGATATTCTATTTTATTTTCTTTACTGTAACTTACAACAAACATGTTGCCACTGGAATACTGGAAATGGGAAATTTCGTCTTCCTTAGATGAGCAAATAAAGTGGCAAGCTGGTCAGATATTGTGTATTCAACCAGTGAGTAAGCTAGTGAGCGTTTGGGATGTAAAGTAACTACAGGAATGAATTGGAAATCTTCAAGAATTGAGGGACAAAGAGTGTTCCAGATGAGGTTTAGCAACTGTTCAGTCTCTTAAACGTTCAGTCAAGGTCCTGGTACGTTATCAGAAGCATAGCAGGAGCCTATCTCCACCTTTAGGTACCCGATGAAAATCTTGTTTCCTAAGTGTCACAGATCTTCTGAAATTCTCTTCGTGTAACCTGGTGTTATTACCTAATATACACTCACTCTTCACTTTCATTAAGTGAGGGCAGGACAGAAGACATTGTTTCTAGGATCTATTTAATCTCATTCAAGCTACTTTCAGGCAAAACTATCCACACATGAAGAAGGTAAGTCACACTGGGAAGATTTAATAGCCTATCTTTAGCAGCTAGAGTTTTATCCTGCTTGAGACCAAAGTCCTTCTTTGCTTTTTTTTTTTTTTTTTAAGGTGCTTACATCAAAGCACTGATTCTGACCTATTAATTACTAACAAGCAACGAAATAATTGCCTCATCAAGACTACGAGAAATGAATATGGAAAAGGCAGTCACTAGAATGAAAAAATGCACTTAATCTTCCTAATTGAATTCCGAATCTCTGCATCGCTTCACATCCAACAAACCCACCAGAATGCCTTCATTTAGTTCCTATCATTGGAACACTCCATTAATCTCCAGTTACCTGAAGGAATGCTGACCACAGCCTGCCATGCTCTCTCCAAGGACTGGATGTATTGACGAGACATTTGTGGGCAGGAGTTACCATGAACTCAAAAGCAGGAACTCAATTACCTCGCCTTGAAGAGCATCGGAGATGTCAGGGAGGTTGTTCAGGAAGGAGGATGGATACTGAACATGTGTCAGTACCAGAAACAATGCAGGATTTATGAGTGGAGAACTGTAACACCATGTGCAAAGTGGTGGGAAAGGGAATTCTGACCAACAGCAGCATCACAAAGTTCTGTAATCAAGAAAAACCCACGGAACTGTCCTTTTCACCATCAATCAGAGCTTGGATTTTTAAATCTTCTGCAAAAGGATCCCCGCAGTTTTTCTTTAAAAATATACGTATACTTTGGATGCCACAGGAGTCTGAACATATGCTTTCAGCTACCTTTGAACAATTTCCTAAGGAGGGCTTTGAAATTTAAACTGGACATTCATGTGGAGCAATATATAGATCACCGAGTACAGCTCTGCAAAGGTCACCATCACCATCTGTGTCAGCAGCTCTGCAAGGGAAAGTGGGCCCCCTCCTTGACCACTGCAGGTCAGAGCCCATCATATTAATATAAACCACACAGCTTTCAGGTCACAGGGGTGTATACCAGGCTGTGAAGTGTGGTGGCTCAAGAGAGGACGATAACCTCTGGGTAGAATGGTTGGTTATGGGCAGGAATCTCTTAAATCATCCCAGTACAAATCGCCAAACCTCCTGAGTTGGAGACTGCAGACTGTAAATTAAGCCTTTCCCTTGACCGTGGTAACTCAAACTGATGTTTCTTGCCTAGCCAAATATTTATGTGTAAAGGGAGTAAATATGCAAGGTGCAGATTTTTCTTTAGTTTTCATACCACATGCCAAGATATTCAAACTTGTTATCTCTTTCTCCTGCTTTCTTCCTTTCTATTTTTCTCCCTTTCTTTTTCCTTCCCATCCTTTCCTTTCCCTTCTTTTCCCTTTCCTTCCTTTTACTTTCCCTCTCCTCTCTTCTCTTCCTTCCTTCTTTCCTTTCCCTTCCTTTCTTACTTCCTTCCTCTTTCTTATTCTTTCTCTTTCTCTTTTTTCTTTTTTCTTTTTTTCTTTGTTGGTTTTCTCTTTTCTCACATTTTCCAACGTGTTCATGCATTATTTTATTTTTTCGTAGTCCAAAATATATGAAAATATATATGTAATAGATCCAATATAAGATGTATTATAGCATAACTAACACATGTAACGTATCTGTATATTTATATAGCTATATACACACAAACATGTACGTATGCATATAAAAATCCACTACAATTCTTCAAGATTTTTCATTACCAGATAGAAAAAAGACTCAGCGGGGGAAGACCAGTGAGAACTCCATTCACAGGCATGAATCCTGTTTTTGTCAGGCTACCTCTTGCTGCTAAGGTCACTACCCTTTGACAAAAATGGCCTCTGACCTCCCCAGCCTCACAATTCTGTTGTGACTGACCCTGAAACCCATGAAATTCAGGGGCAGACATTGCTTTGGAAGGTTTAGATAAAGCTGACTAACATGGGAAGGGCTCACGGTATGCACTCATTTGAAAAGGTCTGGCAGTTCTTTGGTAGAGGATGCAATTTATTCCGTTCCCCCTCTTTCACTGAAATCCTAATCCTTCATATGCTGCCTAAAGTGGAAACCAAAATGCAGCAATGATGAATAACAATGTGCCTTTAAAGGTTCAGTAACAGTTTTTTAGCCTTTATTTTTTTAGTTTTGGGCTTTTTTTTTTTTTAATAAGTAAAAAGATTCCAACTGACCATGTACAAATGAAATGAATATTTTACTATGCTGTGAAGTAAATCTAAGCAGGCTCATGCTTTGTAATAGAACAGTAAATCAAACAAGCAAAGGATTACTTTGACTAAGTTTCTTCCAGAAACTTCATTAATATATACACATGGTCTTGCTTCCAAAAAAAAATGGATGCACACTTCAAACTGGATTTGAGCCACAAAGATCAGGGGACTGGAGCACCTCCCCTATGAAGACAGGCTGAGGGAGCTGGGCTTGTTCAGCCTGGAGAAAAGAAGGTTGTGGGGTGACCTCATTACAGCCTTTCAGTACCTAAAGGGAGCCTTAAACAGGAGGGGAATCAACTCTTTGAAAGGGTAGATAACAGCAGGACAGGGGGAAATGGTTTTAAGTTGAGGGAGGGAAGATTTAGGTTGGATGTCAGGAGGAAGTTCTTTACTGTGGGAGTGGTGAGGTGCTGGAACAGGCTGCCCAGAGAGGTTGTGGATGCCCCGTCCCTGGAGGTGTTCAAGGCCAGGTTGGATGGGGCCCTGAGCAGCCTGGTCTGGTATTAAATGGGGAGGTTGGTGGCCCTGCATGTGGCAGGGGGGTTGGAGCTTCATGATCCTTGAGGCCCCTTCCAACCCTGGCCATTCTGTGATTCTCTGATTCTGTGATTTTGCTACTTCTTCAGTAGCAACTTCAGTATATTACTTTCGTCTATCCAAACAGTGGATTTTGACAATAGGGCACTTTGACAATGGAAATAAGCCCATCTTCTTAACTTCTTAACGTTGCTCAAACCTGGAGTTTGTAGTGCTCTGTAGAGATGTAGCCAACCTGTGCGCAGACACTGCAGACTCTCACCCAGCGTGTGGTGTTGGCCCGCTCTGCCCTCCCAGATCTCCAGAGCAAAACCCAACAGTGAGGAGACACTGGGATCTCAACCCCACACCTTCTGCTTTCTCACACCCACGTGAACACCCTGTA